TGCCGATATGTTGCCGATATGTTCAGGGTATCTACGTCCGATCTGCCGATATGTTCAGGGTATCTACGTCCGTCCGATCTGCCGATATGTTCAGGGTATCTACGTCCGATCTGCCGATATGTTCAGGGTATCTACGTCCGATCTGCCGATATGTCCGATCTGCCGATATGTTCAGGGTATCTACGTCCGATCTGCCGATATGTTCAGGGTATCTACGTCCGATCTGCCGATATGTTCGATATGTTCAGAAGTATCTACGTCCGATCTGCCGATATGTTCAGGGTATCTACGTCCGATCTGCCGATATGTTCAGGGTATCTACGTCCGATCTGCCGATATGTTCAGGGTATCTACGTCCGATCTGCCGATATGTTCAGGGTATCTACGTCCGATCTGCCGATATGTTCAGGGTATCTACGTCCGATATGTTCAGGGTATCTACGTCCGATCTGCCGATATGTTCAGGGTATCTACGTCCGATCTGCCGATATGTTCAGGGTATCTACGTCCGATCTGCCGATATGTTCAGGGTATCTACGTCCGATATGTTCAGGGTATCTACGTCCGATCTGCCGATATGTTCAGGGTATCTACGTCCGATCTGCCGATATGTTCAGGGTATCTACGTCCGATATGTTCAGGGTATCTACGTCCGATCTGCCGATATGTTCAGGGTATCTACGTCCGATCTGCCGATATGTTCAGGGTATCTACGTCCGAGCTACCGATATGTTCAGGGCAAGTACGATGTGCCTTGTTCTAACTAACAGGAAGGATGACATACGAGAAGTTCGTTTAATTGACGCGAGTGCTATCGGACGTGGTAGATGCTGTCACCTCGATTACACCACATCCTCGTTGTCGTCGTCATCCACTCAAGGTCACGTGGTACTCCCCACACACAATCACTTTAGTCCGGAAACACTAAGGTGCAGGAAGATACCGTAATACAGATAATAACACTAACGACGCCATGCTTAGTATAAAGAGCCCTGTGGGCGACATAGATCCCCGTACCGTCGTAATAATAATATAGTTACGGTGTGTCACCTAGCTGATATGTATTATACCCCGATGGCGCAGTTCGAGATTTGCCAGGACCAGCCTGTATTATTCCCAGGCCAGTGTGCGATAGCTGGATACTGCGTCATAAAACAACACTCATTATGTAACGAGTACCGCTGTTTATTGGTGCTGTTATACCGTTATACAAGGCTCCTGGTGATACCACTGTCTTTCTTATTAATTGTGGACATTGGTCAAGCATATACGCCAAGGTTATGCATCAGGTGCTGCTTATCGGTACAGTTAAGATGTAACTGATGTTGGTCGCTATGACAACGCGGCAATACAGCTGATCACCAGCTTAACCTTATGGGATGGGTTACGTAGCACACTGGTTAAAGTGTTCACTAGTCACAGTGACAATCCGGGTTTAGTTCCCGAGGTGGGCAAGTGGTGAGAACCCAAAGGATCGTGTACTCCATGCTGCATATATTGTCCAGATCTGTTCACTCACTTACTTGGATCTCATATAAACAGAACGCTTTGTTGACAAAATGTTTGTGAAATTAATGTACACAAAGGTACAGATGAACTTTTACTAAACCTGTAAAGTTAATGACTTATTCTTGCAAGAGCTTACAGCGAGTAGATTGAGATAGATCACAGGCGTTCTACTCCACTACTGAGCCGAATTTATGTTGACACATGATGAGGGACGAGTGATTTATATGATTTACATTCAGTATATTTCCAGCTCGCTATCGACCGCTATCACGCTGTGTTGGGAAACGACACAGCCGACAGAATACACAACGTATTAATGGCTTGTGTGCACATCATTTAACATATCATCGCAGTGTCCGAGTGAGGCCTATAGTTAGTTGCTCTGTAATTGGGAACACTGCAAATACGATGTAGCATTTCTGGCCCAATACTGGCCTCTCCTACAGTTCACACTGACCCAGATCCTGGTGCCGTACTAATTGTTTTGTGTCGCCTATTAAATATGTTCTGTGGGGATTAGCCACTGTTTCATTATCAAATATGTCGACGTTTAGGGGTATTTACTGAGTAGAATCTGTCAGGAAACGTCATTCCGACCGCCGCAGCCTCATACCAGACGATCCCGTAGCGCATCTAAACCAACACGGGAACAGCTAATGATAGGGCTACTGGAAGCAGACGATTGATAGCTTCAAAGCAGACGATAAATATATACGCACTGCAGACGACTAGCTACATAGATCAGAATATAGCATAGACGATGGATGCGGTATTAATAACATGATTCTTATCGTTGATCCTGCAGAAGATCACTTTATTAAGTAGATGGAGCTCGCTCTGTAGCAGACGTCACAGTCGTTGCGGATGCTGTAGTTGAAGTGATGTTGAGCTGATAATGTTGTTTCAATTGTTGTTGCACTAGGCGGTGTTTCCGACAAGGGGTACAGCGCCATCTGTGGAAAATGGCACACTCTTGTCTTGGCTTTTGTTTTGTTGTTCTCTGCCAAAGATGATAAATATATGTTGTTCTGTAATCGTGAGTCAGGGAAGGGGGGTGGGGGGTTGTTTTGAGATTTGACCGGTCTACATACAGAATGAATTTAACGAACAGTAGCGTCAGTTGGTGCTGTGTATATACTTGGATGTGCACGACAAGTAGTGTGGCGTGACATTGAGAGACCTCGTCCCGTGACTTCTTGGCGGAGATTGGAGCAGTGTTTGGTGTCGGATTACTCAGTGGAGGTCGGGTAGCCTAGGGGAGGTCGGGTAGCCTAGTGGAGGTCGGGAGCCCAGTGGAGGTCGGGCAGTCCAGTGGAAGTCGGGTAGCCCAATGGAGGTCAGGGTACACAGTGGAGATCGGGTAGCCTAGTGGAGATCAGGAGGAACTGGGTCCTCTTTCTGCGATCTGATTGTAGTAACTACCCTACTTCAAGATGTACTGAAGATAGTTAAAGCGCTATTATGCTGTAATATACTGTCATGAGTGTAACACCATGGCGACTGGTTGAGTGCATCAATACCGATCAACGACACACAGAAGGCAATTTCACCACTCCCTGATTCAGTTCCCTCTCTCTGATGAGCATTCGTTTTCGTTACATTATTCAAGCCGTTGTTTCATGTTGGTTCGCTGTAGCTCCTAGAGCATGCATCGATGCACTTGGTTGGTAAATAATGATTACTGCCTGCACGGACGCACCAATCAATACCGAGTGGGGGATGTGACGGACAGGAATATCTATCGTCTTCACTCTCCCCCTCAAACACGCGAAAGGTTTTGTTGACACAGAGCGCCAGCGGAACACAGTGCTGTAACCGCATCATTCCAAGCAACGTGCTTCACATTGTCAACGTTGCTGACACACCAGGCACGGTTTATAACCTCTCATGTCTAATTATAGCAAATCAAGCCATTACCCTGCCACAATCAATCACACTTCGCTTCCGCTTTGAAGCTGTCTCAATACACATGCACTGTTAATTAATATAGCATCAGAACCTGTGGTGCAACGGTACTTGTAGACAGCGCCAGTCAGATGAGCAGTGCTACGGTATGGCTACACAAGGTCTAGTAGACCGAACTCGGTCTGCAGACTAGTACAGTGGTACGTTCATCAAAGCGATCGTAACGATAAGATGATCGTAACTCCTATTCTTTAGTAGACAGGACCAAGTCTGTAGTATGATGCCGTGGTACATACATATATGAGACCCAGAGATAGAATAGACTTATTAGAACATCCGTGGATAATTACTATTACTTTTTTTTTATTGTTACAATATACAAAACACGAGAGTAACGATGTCTGTTAATGAGCATATGCGTCGTACAGCGAACACTGCGCGCTCCAGTATTCCCGCCTTGACTCCTGCCTCGTGGGTTTCCTGGGGTCCGTTTCCCGGACAGAGTAGGTCCCCGGGGCCACGCGCTTGTTCAAACTTGCGAAAATGAAGATCAGCTTAAATGAGTGACCTGGCGAACTGACCGGTGCTCATGCTATCAACCTGTTGTTTGTCCGATCCAGTCTTGACACGTATGAACTATTGCTGACTGCAGCGTTAGCACGGTAGATGCAGAGGGTCTGGGACGCTGATGTGATCGATGATCTTCACAGTTCCCCGTATCTTTACGGAAAGGTATGACGTCATCGTTATGTGGAACACGCACACCTTCCTCGTGAGTAATCAGAAGCAGGTAGTGAACATATTTCCTGAAACACATAAAGAACAGGGCTGTGGTCACGTGATGTACAACAGTCGCCCCCAGTAACCCCTGTATTGAGATGGTAGCCCTAGACGAAGTGGGGCAGCCTGATGTATTGTGTGTACACTGTTAGCTGTGACGACGTAACACTATCTAGGTGCAGGTAGACTACTACACCGGGAAGTGACTAACAGCTTCATTGTAACAGTGACACAAGAGCACAAATTGTTTGTCATCAACGAAAGACACTAAACGTTTATCCGTCGGAAGATGGGACTGTTCGGTGCAGTTGTGAAGTTTGGTTAGACCGGTTTGGGAAATCAAACTGTAAACTATGTTTAAGATGTACCAAACCATGAACGTCCCCTCACATTCCTTTAAATATGTCTATCCAGTTTGTTCAAACCTTTTACACGTTTGACCGGTTTTCGTTCGGCTTTTATAACTAAGAGTATATGAGTTGAATATTTACCCAAACCCTCGCGTGATTTAGTTGAACGAATCAATCAAACGTCCGACTTGTTGCGTGTAAGTAGACCTGCGTCCTTTACTTGCCAGTACTGGAGACTAAAGTCTGTCTCACAGTCCCTGAACCGCGATAGTTTGCCTTCCGCCTAGCCCTCTCTGCCATGCTGTAGCCCTAAATGAAACAAGTCTAGATTCCCTCAGGTCCTGAATCTCCCATTTCACTGTGGACAGTGGATCCGTGTTAATTTAAATAGGATTGTTTTTAACTGTCATCATTATGTATATTCAGAGACTATAGTTGTGTGATTGTGTGTTTCAGTGACCGTGACCATCAGAGACACACCCTACCAGCTGGGGCTGTTCGACACGGCGGGACAGGTACGTACAGACAGCGCCTCCTCCTCCCTCCCCCACAGGGGTCTGATATACCGCTGTTGTGATTCTCATGCTCCCTCGGACAGTTGGTGCCGTACCCATTTCCAACATGTGCCTCTCGACCTCGGCATGGGGCCCAGGGCCCCGTTCCCCGTTCCTCAAAGCGATCGTAGCGCTAAGATGATCGTAACTCCCATACTTTAACATAGACTTACAACAGTCGTAGCGCTACTATCGCTTTGAGGAACGGGGCCCTGGACGAGTGCGTCGCCGGGTTGTGGCCCCTCGACATGGGGCCCTGGACGGGTGCGTCGCCGGGTTGTGTGGACAAGGAATAGAACTGGTGCTTCTCAGATTCATTTCAAGTTTGAATACCCATAAATAACAAAACAGTTATCTCAGTAGGGGAATCGTTTTCTGATGTCAGTTATTTAGGCGAGGATTTATGGGCATCCCAAGGTACAACACAGGGTGTCTGCTCCGTGGACCCTGCTAGGCGCTCGGCATTTAGGGGACAAAACAAGGCCTGGACTGATGGGGTCAGTATACCTGTATCTCGGTGGGTTAGCACCATAACACACGCAGACCGGTAATTATCAATGCCGCTTTAAGACCCCATTTCGCGTCGTCTCAATGGAAGGTCTGTGACCACAGAAAGGTCCGTCCTTTTAGAATATAATCGACATGACCGCGTTAACATGTCCTGAAGACATTCGTGTGGAACAAATGTCCCTGATACGCTGCAGATTGACACACGTACACTATCAGCGCGTATCTTCAGGTATTTATGTTTAGAGATTCCATCCTGATCACGCAGACAGAAAGGGGGGCTTGAAGAACGCGTGTTGCGTTTCAAAGTGCGTGTTTATAAACACTGGTATTTCTGCGCGGTAAACCTGCCGTCATATCCATCCGCTGACGTCACCCGATCTCGAAACAAGCTGTAATGCACTTGTCTATGTGGGTCTCTTTACATGGCGTGTTTGAATTAACAGGTTTATCAAACTCCGTACTGGTACATATATTTATGTAACTCTGTGATCCATTGATGACAGTTTTCTTATTCCTAATATATTTAGTATTTATATTCAAATTCTCGTTGCAACATGGCTGAAATATTGCCCATGTGACGTAAGGTTTTAACTCGTGCGTGTCTATTTCCCAGGACAGTGTCATGCGTATCTGTATTTTCCTAGACAGTGTTATATATGCCTATATTTCCCAGGACAGTGTTATATATATCTGTACTTCCCTGGACACTATTACGTCTGCTATAAATGTCGGTAGATATCTACTGATGGCTATATAACACTGTATGTTTGACACGTGTCTGTCTATATGTCTTCAGATATTTTTCTTAACGCCGTTATTCTTTCATTTAGCTTATTCTTATACGTTACGTTTATGTCTGAATATATCACACAGGCCTCACACATAAAACCCCAAGGAGATCCAGCTATTTGTATTTATGTAAAAGGTTGATGGTATATATTTCTGCATCTTCCGCCATAGAGGCTGTGTGTTAGGGATTGACGTAAACCAGACTGGCAACGTCGCGGGCGTCTGTGCGACATCATGCAAGTTGGCTCAAACATCACGCAGTAGAAACTCAGGGGTCGTTCAAGATTTATGAAATGTTTAGTTTTGAATGACTGGTTGAACGACCTTTCCTGCATGGCACAACTCACGAGCTTTCATTCCGTTCTTCATAACTGGTGCTGGTTTGTGTAGGTTATTGATAAATATTGGCATGCCCCGGATTTGGTTTACATGATGGTCTATGCAGGCGTGTCTACAGACACGTTCTCGTTACAGAGTTGTGTCCCTTACTGATTAAACTCAACGCGCTGATGGTTCAAATCCAGTATTCACCAGTATGATGATCCCTGGTTAGACCACACCCGTATTTCAGCTGCAGTTGCAGGCTCAAATACTCAAGACCGGTTCAAGACGACGCTGCAGTCACTCACTCACTCACGAACGAACGAACGAACGAACGAATCAATACGCAATACCTTCTAACAATTCCCAGTAAAGATCGTGTGCTGACGAGAGGCTTGCCAGTCAGGAAACAATTAATTGCTGAAACAATTTTATGACGCTGAATTCTTTTAGGTTAGTGCGATAACATGAGAGCTTGTGACCCGGAAGTGTATCGTCGGTTTCCCTGTCAAGGTTCAGGATAGCTATTTGAGATCCAGCCGGATCCTGTGTTTTAGTAAACAAGGAAATGGAATTAATCCCAACATATTTTCGAGAAACAGCTTCGGGAAGTAGTTCGTGAATTATGTACTTGAACAGTAAATAATACCATACATATTTTACCCATTATTTCATTAAAAAAGACATTTCCATCTTATTTTCCATAAACTTTAACAACATTTAGACATTCAAGTCAGGTCGAGAGGTCTGTGTCGAGTCACATAAGTGTTCCAGTCACATCTGTTGGAGTTTTCTATGACGTTTAAGTGTGGTGTTGTATGGTGTTGGATGTTTCTATGACGTTTAAGTGTGGTGTTGTATGGTGTTGGAGGTTTCTATGATGTTTAAGTGTGGTGTTGTATGGTGTTGGAGTTTTCTATGATGTTTAGGTGTGGTGTTGTATGGTGTTAGAGGTTTCTATGACGTTTAAGTGTGGTGTTGTATGGTGTTGGAGGTTTCTATGACGTTTAAGTGTGGTGTTGTATGGTGTTGGAGGTTTCTATGACGTTTAAGTGTGGTGTTGTATGGTGTTAGAGGTTTCTATGACGTTTAAGTGTGGTGTTGTATGGTGTTAGAGGTTTCTATGACGTTTAAGTGTGGTGTTGTATGGTGTTAGAGGTTTGATGTTTAAGTGTGGTGTTGATGGTTTAAGTTTAAGTGTGGTGTTGTATGGTGTTGGAGGTTTCTATGATGTTTAAGTGTGGTGTTGTATGGTGTTGGAGGTTTCTATGATGTTTAAGTGTGGTGTTGTATGGTGTTGGAGGTTTCTATGACGTTTAAGTGTGGTGTTGTATGGTGTTGGAGGTTTCTATGACGTTTAAGTGTGGTGTTGTATGGTGTTGGAGGTTTCTATGACGTTTAAGTGTGGTGTTGTATGGTGTTGGAGGTTTCTATGACGTTTAAGTGTGGTGTTGTATGGTGTTGGAGGTTTCTATGACGTTTAAGTGTGGTGTTGTATGGTGTTGGAGGTTTCTATGACGTTTATGGTATGGTGTTGGAGGTTTCTATGACGTTTAAGTGTGGTGTTGTATGGTGTTGGAGTTTTCTATGACGTTTAAGTGTGGTGTTGTATGGTGTTGGAGGTTTCTATGACGTTTAAGCGTGGTGGTGTTGTATGGTGTTGGAGTTTTCTATGACGTTTAAGTGTGGTGTTGTATGGTGTTAGAGGTTTCTATGACGTTTAAGTGTGGTGTTGTATGGTGTTGGAGGTTTCTATGATGTTTAAGTGTGGTGTTGTATGGTGTTGGAGGTTTCTATGATGTTTAAGTGTGGTGTTGTATGGTGTTGGAGGTTTCTATGACGTTTAAGTGTGGTGTTGTATGGTGTTGGAGGTTTCTATGACGTTTAAGTGTGGTGTTGTATGGTGTTGGAGTTTTCTATGACGTTTAAGTGTGGTGTTGTATGGTGTTGGAGGTTTCTATGACGTTTAAGTGTGGTGTTGTATGGTGTTGGAGGTTTCTATGACGTTTAAGTGTGGTGTTGTATGGTGTTGGAGTTTTCTATGACGTTTAAGTGTGGTGTTGTATGGTGTTGGAGTTTTCTATGACGTTTAAGTGTGGTGTTGTATGGTGTTGGAGTTTTCTATGACGTTTAAGTGTGGTGTTGTATGGTGTTGGAGGTTTCTATGACGTTTAAGTGTGGTGTTGTATGGTGTTGGAGGTTTCTATGACGTTTAAGTGTGGTGTTGTATGGTGTTGGAGTTTTCTATGACGTTTAAGTGTGGTGTTGTATGGTGTTGGAGGTTTCTATGATGTTTAAGATGGTGTTGTATGGTGTTGGAGGTTTCTATGACGTTTAAGTGTGGTGTTGTATGGTGTTGGAGGTTTCTATGACGTTTAAGTGTGGTGTTGTATGGTGTTGGAGGTTTCTATGACGTTTAAGTGTGGTGTTGTATGGTGTTGGAGGTTTCTATGACGTTTAAGTGTGGTGTTGTATGGAATGACAATTCTTTGTCACCGAATATCTGAATCTGTATGTTCATCGGATTTAGTACATCATTGTATTTATGTTCCGATTATAAATATTATATATAGCATCAAGGTAAACAGATTTAAAACATGTAAATATGTAAATACTAAAAAAATATAAAAATAAACAGATTTGGATATTTTAAAAAACAGTATGTTGTGCTGTGAGTTGTAAGTAGGCTTGTCTGGTGACAAAGTGGTTGTGACATGATATGGGATGTCGGGTAGCTCAATGGTTAAAGCGTTCGCACGTTGAAAGTTCGTTTCTCCATATTGATACATGGTGTTAAATTCATTATGTCGTCCCCGGACACGACATTGCTAACGCGGACGTGAAACCTTACTGAGTAGTTGATAACAATATGATTTCAGTATTGTTAAATATCTCCAACTACTGTGTGTACTGTGGTGTACTGTGTGCCAACTATATTACACCGTCATAAAGCCTGCAGTTTAGTTGTCATCACGTAAAGCTGGGTTAGTACAAAACGCAGACAAGCTCCTGTGTGAGAGTCCGCCATGTGTGGTACAGAGGTACATGTGGGGTACAGAGGTACATGTGTGGTACAGAGGTACATGTGTGGTCATGTGTCCCCTGTACTGGATACTTGTTGGATGTCAACAACATCAGATTTTGTTAACCCTGAATTGGTTTGGTTGTCTTGAAACCTCTACCTGTCATGCGGTGTTATTAATAGATGACACACTAACATGATAACGTATCGTTTCATGTGAACATGCATATGCTACTCGTAGGAAATACCAAACAGTTCCAACGGTCATAAACTCTCTGATCAAAGCTTGTTGTGTTTGTGTCTGCTGTACGGTGGTCTAATCTGTGTGTTGCCTGTGTTGAAGGATGGTCTAATCTGTGTGTTGCCTGTGTTGAAGGATGGTCTAATCTGTGTGTTGCCTGTGTTGTACGATGGTCTAATCTGTGTGTTGCCTGTGTTGAAGGATGGTCTAATCTGTGTGTTGCCTGTGTTGTAGGATGGTCTAATCTGTGTGTTGCCTGTGTTGAAGGATGGTCTAATCTGTGTGTTGCCTGTGTTGAAGGATGGTCTAATCTGTGTGTTGCCCGTGTTGTAGGATGGTCTAATCTGTGTGTTGCCTGTGTTGAAGGATGATGTAATCTGTGTGTTGCCTGTGTTGTAGGATGGTCTAATCTGTGTGTTGCCTGTGTTGTAGGATGGTCTTATCTGTGTGTTGCCCGTGTTGAAGGATGGTCTAATCTGTGTGTTGCCTGTGTTGAAGGATGGTCTAATCTATGTGTTGCCTGTGTTGTACGATGGTCTAATCTATGTGTTGCCTGTGTTGAAGGATGGTCTAATCTATGTGTTGCCTGTGTTGTTCGATGGTCTAATCTGTGTGTTGCCCGTGTTGAAGGATGGTCTAATCTGTGTGTTGCCTGTGTTGAAGGATGGTCTAATCTGTGTGTTGCCTGTGTTATGTTCGATGGTCTAATCTATGTGTTGCCTGTGTTGTACGATGGTCTAATCTATGTGTTGCCTGTGTTATTACCGATGGTCTAATCTATGTGTTGCCTGTGTTGTACGATGGTCTAATCTATGTGTTGCCTGTGTTGTACGATGGTCTAATCTGTGTGTTGCCTGTGTTATTCGATGGTCTAATCTATGTGTTGCCTGTGTTGTACGATGGTCTAATCAATGTGTTGCCTGTGTTGTAGGAGGAGTACACCAGTCTAAGGATGTTGTCCTACACAGAGACGAGCGTGTTCCTGGTCGCCTTCTCGGTCGTCAAGCCCGACTCCCTGAAGAACCTGGAATATAAGTGGATTCCCGAGATCAGACACAATAGTCCCAAGACGCCATTCCTGCTTGTGGGGACTCAGGTGGACTTAAGGGAGGACGAACCCACGAGGCAGAAACTCCAGAAGAGGAAACAGAAGCCGGTGACTGTGGAGGAGGCGGAGAGAGTGTGTGACAAACTTGGGGCAATTCCTACGTGGAATGCTCAGCCCTGACCAAGAAAGGGTTGAAGGACGTCTTTGATGAAGCTATCATAGCTGTCCTGGACCCTAAAGTGCAGCCCAAGAAACTCGGGAAACGGAGGTGTATCATATTGTGATCACGTGACTCTAGGTCAGGTTTGGGACCATCTCAGTGCAAAGTATATATTTTATAAAACTATAGAAGGAACCCCGTCCTTGCCTTACAGTCGATGATTGGACTGCTTGCATAGGCGGACGGCCAGAACCAGTCCACACAGTGAGGATATAGCCAGTAGCCCTGTGATAGTAGGGTGGTCCGTATGTTGGGGACGTACCCGAGGCTGTGTATGTGCGTGCAGGGTGTGTGCAGGTGCGTGCAGGTGCACGGAGTGTGTTGTTGAGGAAGGTAGCGTGCTTACACATGCTGATGAAACCAAGGCCATCAGGTTAAACCATGCAGCCTGGCACAGTTGGAGGCAGCAGGGTATTTGAGTGCACGGGCAGTGGAACCTGGTTGTTTCTGAAATTACGGGACATAGGGCCTGGTTGTTTCTGAATGGAAATATGACATCATACGGACAGTCACAGAAAGTGGAGAATCAAGACTGAAAGACAGCTGAAATATCAAAGAAAGCCGCAGAAGCAACCGTGAAGCCTTAAGTGTGGTCATACAGACTCGTGTTTCGTGTCATTCGACGTGTCATGCTAGCTCATGTGCGATACATGTCTGGAACTGGAGTATTATGGAATGATATTTGTAAAACAAGGAATACTGTGACGTCAGAATGGAGTGCAGAATCTTCATATAACATGTTTCCCAAACATCGACACTGATGCGACAACTGATGTCAGAAAAAAGCATCTCATGCAGTTGCTAGGCAACAGTATAATGAGCTGACGTGTCAAACCTGAGAAGCAGTGTAAACAATTAACATTCTCACTGACGTCTAAATATGAAATGGTGACCTCATGAAAGTTCAGTCAGGGTATGGAACCAGGAGATTACAGTGTGGACGGGAACGGGTTGAGAGGCGGGTGAAGTAGCCATCACACACATCAGTATTTTACACCCGTGTCGCAGTCGGGCTCGCTTCCACACGGCGGTCGTAACGGTGACGTCGTAACGTATACTTACCATCGTCGTGGACGTATACTAGCGCAGTGTGGAAGGTTTCCGATGGTGTATTTTGTGTATATTATGACACACAACGAAAACGCATAATTTAATTAACCTCGGGCAATAAATCGATTTTAGCGTAAATATTTCCCCACGCGACAAAACATAAGACAGTGTTGTGTTGGGGTTGGTCATCTCCTGCCTAAAAACAACAACAATAACAACAACAACGTCATGTGCCCTTTCCGACCGAAAGGTCAAATAGAAAAAAAATCGAATATGCGTTTTCCATGTGTTTCAGCATAGCTGTGCCATTAGCTTGATTTTACTGTGACCTGTCGGGTTGCATCGTTGACGGCTTTTATCATCATGTATTGTCACCCGCTAGGGGGCGCTGAGGCTTAAGTATTGTTTTGCATGTTTTCTACTGTGTTTTTTTTTAAAAATTCTTACACCAATGAGTTTTATATAATCGATAGTGTATACGACATTGTGTATGATAGTATTTCTTCCATGGAAACACATTTTGCCTACATTCTTGTTGGAGAGAATGCCATTTGATATAGTCAATCATACAACACACACCCGTGCTATGAATCCCGGTTTGCGATGATTAGATTTCTGAGTTTGTCAGCGCCATACTTCGGGCTTTCCTGGAACCTAAAATTGACGTCCCGTGATCTGTCCACAGCGGCGTTGAACTCCACTCACTCACTCACTCACTTACTCACCAGGCAAAAAATGAAGGATGTTCTTGAAATATCGGACGTCAGTGGCAGACTGCAAACATAATCATGTATGGACCCCATCCTTGACGGTGCCAGAGATCAGGTTCACAGAGACAATCTGGTGAAAATAGAGGTGTATCTGATTCGAATGTATGTTAAATTTTCCCACTCAAAAGAACTGATGGACCACCCTCTTCTTTCATGGCACTATTGTCAATGTGTTATACTAGAAGGAAACCTTTGCTCTGCTAGAACACCGTGCTATTAGTACAATGGTGGCTCTCTGTTTACACGATGTTGGTACATGAGTACAATGTGTGAAGCCCATTTCAAGTTTCGCCCGCCGTGATAGTGCTGGAATATAAAAGCGGCGTAAAATCATACTACAATCTGTTATTCACGGTAAGTTAGTGTAGACGCTGTAGGTACGACTTGAGCAGCTACTTACAGCAACGTGACCGAAACCGGGGTTATGCTGTTTTGCGGATTTGTTTTCTTACGGAACTGATATTTTCCTGTACAGTGGGACGTGTAAGTTGATGGTATGAGACCAGACCATGGTTATCTCGGTACTGGCTTTGGTTGCAAGACGATGACAGTAATATATATGGTGATTCGGGAGGCAACTTGTCCTGTTTGCAGCCAAATATATGCTGGCTCTGATTCTATGCCCAGATGCACGTGAGGTGCCTTGTTTCTTAAGTTGAATTGAATTACATGATTTTTTTTCGACAGGATCCATGTACTAGCATGTTTAAATGAAAGTGACTTAACCGATCCAGGTTGTATATAGTGTACATTATGCTCAGACTACGCAAGAGGTTTAACTAGAGAAACAATCTTCTGTCCAATATATTATTGTTAAAATGACACTGTCTCTGTGATATATCAGATCATGTTAATGAAATTAATGTATGTTGATTTTGTTAAAATGTCGCTTGGCAATACATTATACAAGACGTGTGTGTTGTGTTGCTGTCGTCTTTCATGGTGAATATGTTCTAGTCTGTCCTCGTGAATAGAGTATACTAGATGTATGTATTAAATACCCCTTCATGAATACGGACAAATGCACGGTTACAGCCGCATGTGCAGAAACTGTACAATGTGACCCTGTGTTTGTACATCCATGGAGGATTACCCCACTCTACCACTTACCCACAAGTGGAAGGCGACATCTAGAAGCTGGGTGGGGCAAGAGGTAGAAGGGGAGGTAAGCCGTGTGCTACTACAGTGACTCGCCAGATCAGGGTTTATTCGTACGGCTGCTCCATACTGCCCTACGTGTACGTATAGTATTCTGCTGAGTTTCTCACACTCGACTCTGACTCTGACTGCTGCTTTGTTTTATCGGACATTCATCTGTGACCATACATGTACTATATCACATCGTTGTCATAATCAACTATTTTATACAGACAATAAAACACACTCAAATAAAATATTCCGATTCTTGTTTATTTTGACTGCTTATTTTCTTATGCTACACAAAATATCTACGTGCTGCGGGGTTTGAGAAGCAGAAGAGATCCTCACCACCTATTCGAGTTTCAGTGTGGGGAGTCACGGGCAGAGCTGGTCCTCAGTACCACGTGGTGTGTTTGTTGTTAAACGCCACACTCGGGCTATATGGCGGCGGCGGTCTGTAAATAATCCAGTCTGGATCAGACAATCCAGTGATCGACATCATGAGCATCCATCTACGTAATTGGGAACCGATGACATGTGTCAACCACGTCAGCTGCCTGACCACCGGATCCCGTTAGTCGCCTCGTACGGCAAGCATGGGTTACTGAAGACCCGGATCTTCAGGGGTTACCGCATTCATTGAGTCAAACAACCAAACAGCAACAATTAGTCGGTTGCGTTTCCGCCATATAGCTGGAATATTGCAGTGCGGCGTAAAACTCAACTCACTCACGATTGCGTTCATGCTATGGCATGTGTTGATGAGTCGCTGCCAATCAGCGGTGATGCAAGGACCTCAGAATTGGGTGTGAAATCAACAACCAACAAACACATGTGATGTGTATAACAATTGCATTGTAAACGTTCACAAATCAATACCAAGGTATTTCTATGGCAGTGCAAATTCAGAGATGATATAATACAAGAGCAGTGATAGCAAAACAGACGGTGATGGTCATCCAGCTTACTATAATGGTCATGGTAGGGTACCATGATCATCACGACCAATGCCGGTCTCCTTGTAACTGATCATGTGAAATGAGAGTTATATGAGAGGAATAAGCTCCTTGAAGCACTTTCCAGATCTTTCTATCTAAATCTAGTTCAAGTATAAATATATAACAGCTAACAGCTAACACCACAGCGTCTCGCTGACTTATACAATGCATTACACTTGAAACATTGTTACACAGTGAATATCACTGCCATATGATGCTCTTATGAACCTCTGCGCTGCCATTGACATAACTTTGATTTGAACCGTATTCGAAAGACACGTCATTAGAATTAAGATTAAGAGTTAAGAGTACACGCATGCACCAGAGAAATCCCGTTTAAAAGGTTTCTCGTGCATCACGCCGCTTTAAAACCTATTTTCACTTATTTTTATATTTACTTTTGGTTCAAATTTCTCACTTTATATAAAGAGATACCGTTATCAACGCTTCACAAATGATATCGTATTAATCAAAACACATCGATGTCCGCCGAGTTGTTTCATGTGTTGTGGTTTGAAATGATGTTCAAGCTCATCACATTTTGCCTCAATATGATATTTTACAAAATATCTTACTGTCCTGTTCAGTATTGAGAAAATGTGTTCGAAAAACATGTTTTTCTTAATACAGCTCAAGGGAGACAGAGATGGTATACGAGGTTTCAGTGGGGGGGTAGATTCACGGTACATAACAGAAAGCAGGGACAAAACCCTGAACCACCACGGATGATTGGCTGAACGACATTCTGGTGGACGGTAGTGACACAGTCGATAGTGATATAGAAACCACTGAGGTGACTGGACAGCTTGATATACATGTCTTGATTAGAGAAAAAACAAAATTAACATTTTTTTCGTTTAAAAGATGATGATGAATGCAGCCGTCTAACAGTAGTTTGTGAACCTGAGAGCTGAAGTGGAAGGCACTCTCATATTACGTAATGGTTTATATGTCAAGCAATAGAGACGTCGACGGGCACCAGGGAGACATTTATGATATCATACATCATCATAAAAGTGAAGTATACGTATTGATCAATCAATTTGTCTGTATATCCAGGGCTGGTGCGTTTGCGGAGAATTGATGCTTGTGGTTTCAGCACTAGTCCAGGACGAGTTGTCGCCCTTGATGGCTATAAAACTTCTCGTTTTGGTGAGGAAGGTCGACGCTGGGTGTGAAGTACAACGAGCATAATGCGAAAAGTGAAACGACTCCATGTATTAATTAATCATGGATGAGAGTGGAAGTTTAGTGTGGGTTTCTTATGATAAAGATATATTTGGAGTGCTACCACTACACAACCAGTCGACATTATTTGGAACTAATAACGCACGTATGCACGCACGAACGCACAAACACGCACGCACACAAACACGTGCGCACGCGCGCACAGCTATATAAGTGTTATAATCATGGAGGCGTGGCTATTATGGCCAGCGTGTGAACTTGTGTGGGAGAAGATTGACATACCGACATCTGACAGACACAGAGCTCATTTCATTGCAACCGTATCTATTAAAAGGCTTTTTGAACTCGACCAGGTGGTATCTCTTGTGGATGCCAGTGTTGGCGGACATGTTTGTATATTAGTATTTGTTGTTTCATGCAGCTCTACCACGTATACAGGTAAATAACCCAGTCTTTGGCTGGCAAACCAGTGGTTGTTATTACAAGCAAGTGCCCTGCCGTCATGGCTCGATGACACCCATCTGAGCACTTGACTCCCGTTTTCGTAGACTTGTGTATATGTATGGGAACTTGTCCGGCTCCTGAGGTGATAAGCCTGAAATTCCGCTCCTAACAGACATGTCCGCTATACCTTGGGTGGAATATGTCCACACAGGACTTGCCTCATCAGGACTTCCAGGTTAACCGGACACGTCCAACGTTCGCGATTGTTCTCCAGTCAACTACCCCCTGTGTACTTCTCACACTCCAGATTCCAGAATTCGGGTGGAGTTGAAAGGGAGAACGTGTGAGCTGGCCTGATAACAAACGCACTAGATCTGTAAACCGTGTTATACGTGAGGAGAGGGAAGCACTGATAGAGGGGTCAGGATAACACCGCTTGGAACAGTATTTCCGTTACGTCACTGCACCCCCGAGGAAAGCCGGAAGTGACGTAGGTCTCTGACGTTAACCATTGAGACGGAGCTCGGGAAAAGAGGTGTGATGCTGAAAACCCCGAAAATAAAGTCATGGCTCTTCTTTCTGTTCAGTGAAGAGAGGCGACCTCACATGGCCACCGGTGTTTTTAGCTAGTCGCGAGGCTCAGCAGACTGAAGTCCAAAAATCATGATTTTATAACGAGGCAATCAATATCATAGGAAATATATTATGTTATGTACATCAAAGATTTTGGTTGAAATGAAATTGATCGATATGCCTGTGTTTGAAATATCAGATTTACGCTTTCTTTCCCAAACGTTTAGCTCCATCCAACATTTACGCTTTCTCTCCCAAACATTTAGCTCGATCCAACATTTACGCTTTCTCTCCCAAACATTTAGCTCCATCCAACATTTAAGCTTTCTCTCCCAAACATTTAGCTACAGCCAACATTTACGCTTTCTCTCCCAAACATTTAGCTCCATCCAACATTTACGCTTTCTCTCCCAAACATTTAGCTCGATCCAACATTTACGCTTTCTCTCCCAAACATTTAGCTCCATCCAACATTTACGCTTTCTCTCCCAAACATTTAGCTACATCCAACATTTACGCTTTCTCTCCCAAACATTTAGCTCCATCCAACATTTACGCTTTCTCTCCCAAACATTTAGCTCCATCCAACATTTACGCTTTCTCTACCAAACATTTAGCTGCATGTCCTGATTAACATCTTCAGACCTTCGTCTTGAAAGCTGCACTGAGTTTAATAGTGACATATTATATTACTGGACACGTTTCTTCAGGCCATAAGAACCCATACAAATATGAAACTACGGGCCCGACACGATACCTAATTGCCATGAACACTGATTTTGGGCTGGATCATTGCTAATGCTTTGCTTAGTACGGTGTAAACAACATCCATTAGCTCTATGTAAGTCATACATGTTTACTTCGTCCTCCGTTTTCTAGTGTTTGGAAAAATCGGTCACCCTTCGAAATCTTGTTATGTCCCTTGCAACATTTTTAATTCAATATGGTTGCTTTGAATTAAATGTATATGAAAACAATATGCCGTCTCATGGGAACTGCGGGGTTCGAACTGGTAATCACATAATATACTGACACCATTTCCGCGGCAAAGACAAATATGTATATTTAGAGTTACGTCCCCTTGTACAGCCAACTTCAGAATCGCTTGTGCTTTCTTTCATTGACAAAGTGGTTGATGAACTCTGTTTAAGCAGTTTCTGATAAGAAATAAGTGAGTATTTTCCGGAGTCTGAGATGGGAATCCATTGTGAGGGCTGTCAAATGATCAATAGATTCTATATGTCGACTTTTGAATCGGCTGTCGAAATAAGACCATTCATGCACTCTAACTCACACACTAAACAGACAAATGCCGTTTGTGGTCATCGTCATATTCTGACCAGATATTATATAACCAACATAGAGTAAGAGTTGACATATGTTCAGCTATTTATAACATAATAGAAGGAAAGACTTTCGCCCGTATCCACCCGGTTAAATTTCATTTTGCAAGGCCCTAACCTAGTTCATATGAATAAATTCGTATTCCAGCCAAGGCCTACATCGATCACACATTGGTATAGAGTGCAAAGTCGTCTAGTTATATGCTGGACTAGGCCGTAACCCTAACCCTATGTACATGTATATATATTTAGGGGGGATACGGATGGAAGTCTTACCAATTTATGGATTTTACTGTCAAATTCAATTTGAAATTGTCTGTCACTTTCAGTCATCAGTATTGTCCGAGTCAGACAGATGAAGCTCTGAAGCTTGTGACGTCATGGAGACGACCCCCGTGCCAACTTGGGATACTTTCGTCCAGAGTAGGTCATTATAACAATTAGTAAATTAACCCTTGGTAATTTTAGCCAGAATATATTTAACTGTTTAGAAATAAACGTTGTCAAAATTCCCTTGCTGGACCGAAAACCCAGATTGTTGGGTGGCTTAAGCCAATTGGTACAATGTATCCGGTCATTACCCGCTAATTAAAATGGGGGACGACTAGACAACTATATGTTTGAGGTTTGTTTCCCTTCAAAATGTGGTATCGTTTATACTCATGCAAGCGTTGTCTTTCGTGGATGCCTATTTTGGTTAATAAATTTGTTTATTTGTTGTTTTACACAGTCCTCACGCCACTGCAATCTCCATCGCATGTCTGCATGTTGTAGGTAACCTGCTGAGAGCTGGCATTGTGAGTGGAGTGTGTCTGGCAGCCCAACATGGAGTACCCATCTACACACACGGGGAACTGGACACTCTGGAACAGGTAGCGTCTAACAACAGTGTTCTGATATTGGTGTTAATGTGTTGTTTCTGAGGTAGATAGGCCCTGGGTGATCCCCAGTACCCACTGTGTGTTGCATGAACAGATGAGGAGTTAGTCTGTTCAGTTTTATCCGCTTTTAGCAATGTTCCTGCAATATCACAATGGGGGCCACCAGAAGATGCAGTCTAAGTAAACTTAGTCTCAGTATTATTCGTTACACTCCTATGCTGAGTCTAACAAACGCTAGTAGAAGGTCGCGTCAGCTAACCTTTTCAACTGACCAATCAGAACGCAGCTTACCAAATTGCGAAAGTTAACATTTGCACATATCGTTTAAACCTTTACCTAAAAAACTCCAAATGCTATTTTCAGCTAATAACGATTCCGAATGCTATTTTCAGCACGATCGCTTCCGAGTGATACACATGGAGGACGCAATGTGTAAACAGTCGCTGAAAATATCGTCTTTGTCAATATCTTGCGGAAATATAAGCTAATAGTAACCAGGTCAAATATCTGTGTTTATTGCGGATTTTCGTTTGTTGATACATCAGTGTCGGCGACCAGGAAAGAGAAAATCCAAAAACTGTTTTGTAAGTCCCGTCGAACCCTAACAAGTAGTCGATTGTCTGATTGGTTAAATCCGTTCGCCGTCTCGCATTTGATTGGACAGTCATAGGTTGCTCAAAGGTTAGCTGACGCGACCTTCTACTAGGTTTGTTAGACTCAGTATAGCAGTGTAACGAATAATACTGGGCCTAAGTTTACATAGACTGCCAGAAGAAAAGGAGTGAACAGAGCCTCGTCCAACATTGCCATGACAGCATACAGCTGAGTCCATATACTGGCCGACACAACAGAGCATGATGAGAGACTGGACAACAGGCTGTAGGGACAGCGGAAATGTCTGTACCTATATGTATTAATGTTCATTGGTTTGAACTTGACCTAGGAACCTTTCAATTACAAAGGGCACATCCAGTGTGCGAAATAGCCACTGTCCGTGGCTAGAAAAATCCAGTCAGGCCAATAAATCTCCACAGTCACTGGCCCGACTGGCTAGTGAATTTTCATGGGGTCATTTTGTAATTACATATGTATATCACTCTCTCCGACTTGTTAAGTTATGTTACACCTTAAACCATGCAGGATTATGGCCTGATAAAACTGCTCACCATATTATCAGCGGGATGAAACACGTGTCATGCCAACAATATCTTATTCTCATCTAGTTCTGTAATGTTTTACTCTTAATGGTTTCGCCCTCACCGAGCGGAAGGTCGTGAGTTCGATCGCGTCATACCAAAGAGCGTTAAAATATGGTACTTGTTGGTCCCTGCCTGGCTCAGCATTAATGGGTACAACAAGGACTGGTCTCTTGGAGTCAGTATAATGTCTGAGTGGGGTATTCATGCTTCACTGCGGCTTGGTATCTCCAGTGGGCTAGCACTATAAAACCAGCTTCAGTCTGGGCTAATACAAGCAGCCACACCTGCATGCACGCCGTCATATGGGAAATATTCTCCAGCTGACGTTAAACCCAATTTCACCTCACCTCACCTAATGTTTTACTTAGTTTCTACATTCGGCTAGTGACAGGGCTAGTAACTTTCAGGCATAGCTAGCCCAACTGGCTAACAAAATTGGGAAACTATTTCGCACACTAAGCACATCATACATAAAGTAGATATGTACCAGTTGTCTTGTGGTCCGAATTGACTGCGATTAGGACCCCATTGCGGGGGATTGGCTTATGTACGAAACTTACTTATCAGATTTTGATACTGATTTTAAGGGTCAAGTTTGGGGGTCATCTTGTCTATGAGATTGGCTTATCTATGGGGTCGGCTTATCTATGAGATCGGCTTATCTACGGTAATATAAGGTAGTCAGAACATGTTTCAGTTCTGATATACATGACCTGGTGATATACATAAATTTGGTGATATACAGAACTTGGTGATATACAGAACTTGGTGATATTGCTTGTAGCATGTAGTCAAGTATTCCTCCATACTACAGAAGGTGGAGGGTCATCTCTCATCTCTCCACTCTGTAAAGAGTCGATGAAGTTGGATCAGGTTGTTGAACCTGTCGGTGATGCTGCTCATTATATCAACCACTAGGATATGTATATTTCATATATATGTAGCTAGACTATTGACAACAAGTGAGTGAGCAAGATTAGTTTTATGCCATTTTTTAGCAATATTCCAGCAATATCACGGCGGAGGACACCAGAAATGGGCTTTACACATCGTACTCATGTGGGGAATTGAACCCAGATCTTTGGCATGGGCAAACGCTTGAACCACTGGACTACACCACCGCCCCTATTGCGAACAACATACTACAGTGTCGGTAATCATACCTGCTTATTCATAATTAGCTTGCATTGCTCCAATGCTGTTTCATTTCCAGGCTGATCTTCAGCAGTTTCTGCCCGTGTTTCGCTCAATATCCAGCCAACACACAGAGTCCATTCTGGAGGCCGGGTTCACGATCCCATCAAAGAGTGGCAAGACAACAGAGTTCAAAGTGTACCAGAAGACGTACTGCAGGTAAACACATTGCAGGTATTGTGGAGTACCTTAGCCAGGTGTCGTTAGTGGAGGAGCCATCACTGTTGCAGGTATGGTGGTAGTACCTTAGCCAGGTGTCGTTAGTGGAGGAGCCACCACTGTTGCAGGTATGGTGGAGTACCTTAGCCAGGTGTCGTTAGTGGAGGAGCCACCACTGTTGCAGGTATGGTGGAGTACCTTAGCCAGGTGTCGTTAGTGGAGGAGCCATCACTGATGCAGGTATGGTGGAGTACCTTAGCCAGGTGTTGTTAGTGGAGGAGCCATCACTGATGCAGGTATGGTGGAGTACCTTAGCCAGGTGTCGTTAGTGGAGGAGCCATCACTGATGCAGGTATGGTGGAGTACCTTAGCCAGGTGTTGTTAGTGGAGGAGCCACCACTGTTGCAGGTATGGTGGAGTACCTTAGCCAGGTGTCGTTAGTGGAGGAGCCACCACTGTTGCAGGTATGGTGGAGTACCTTAGCCAGGTGTCGTTAGTGGAGGAGCCACCACTGTTGCAGGTATGGTGGAGTACCTTAGCCAGGTGTTGTTAGTGGAGGAGCCATCACTGTTGCAGGTATGGTGGAGTACCTTAGCCAGGTGTTGTTAGTGGAGGAGCCAAACCACTGTTGCAGGTATGGTGGAGTACCTTAGCCAGGTGTCGTTAGTGGAGGAGCAACCACTGATGCAGGTATGGTGGAGTACCTTAGCCAGGTGTTGTTAGTGGAGGAGCCATCACTGTTGCAGGTATGGTGGAGTACCTTAGCCAGGTGTCGTTAGTGGAGGAGCCAACCACTGTTGCAGGTATGGTGGAGTACCTTAGCCAGGTGTTGTTAGTGGAGGAGCAACCACTGTTGCAGGTATGGTGGAGTACCTTAGCCAGGTGTGGTTAGTGGAGGAGCCATCACTGATGCAGGTATGGTGGAGTACCTTAGCCAGGTGTTGTTAGTGGAGGAGCAACCACTGTTGCAGGTATGGTGGAGTACCTTAGCCAGGTGTTGTTAGTGGAGGAGGAGCAACCACTGTTGCAGGTATGGTGGAGTACCTTAGCCAGGTGTCGTTAGTGGAGGAGCCACCACTGTTGCAGGTATGGTGGAGTACCTTAGCCAGGTGTTGTTAGTGGAGGAGCAAACCACTGTTGCAGGTATGGTGGAGTACCTTAGCCAGGTGTTGTTAGTGGAGGAGCCATCACTGATGCAGGTATGGTGGAGTACCTTAGCCAGGTGTGGAGTTAGTGGAGGAGCCACCACTGATGCAGGTATGGTGGAGTACCTTAGCCAGGTGTCGTTAGTGGAGGAGCCACCACTGTTGCAGGTATGGTGGAGTACCTTAGCCAGGTGTTGTTAGTGGAGGAGCCATCACCACTGATGCAGGTATGGTGGAGTACCTTAGCCAGGTGTGTAGTTAGTGGAGGAGCCATCACTGTTGCAGGTATGGTGGAGTACCTTAGCCAGGTGTCGTTAGTGGAGGAGCAACCACTGATGCAGGTATGGTGGAGTACCTTAGCCAGGTGTTGTTAGTGGAGGAGCCATCACTGATGCAGGTATGGTGGAGTACCTTAGCCAGGTGTCGTTAGTGGAGGAGCCATCACTGTTGCAGGTATGGTGGAGTACCTTAGCCAGGTGTTGTTAGTGGAGGAGCCATCACTGTTGCAGGTATGGTGTGGAGTACCTTAGCCAGGTGTCGTTAGTGGAGGAGCCATCACTGATGCAGGTATGGTGGAGTACCTTAGCCAGGTGTTGTTAGTGGAGGAGCCATCACTGTTGCAGGTATGGTGGAGTACCTTAGCCAGGTGTTGTTAGTGGAGGAGCCATCACTGTTGCAGGTATGGTGGAGTACCTTAGCCAGGTGTTGTTAGTGGAGGAGCCATCACTGTTGCAGGTATGGTGGAGTACCTTAGCCAGGTGTCGTTAGTGGAGGAGCCATCACTGTTGCAGGTATGGTGGAGTACCTTAGCCAGGTGTTGTTAGTGGAGGAGCCAACCACTGTTGCAGGTATGGTGGAGTACCTTAGCCAGGTGTTGTTAGTGGAGGAGCCATCACTGTTGCAGGTATGGTGGAGTACCTTAGCCAGGTGTTGTTAGTGGAGGAGCCATCACTGAGTACCTTGCAGGTATGGTGGAGTACCTTAGCCAGGTGTCGTTAGTGGAGGAGCCATCACTGATGCAGGTATGGTGGAGTACCTTAGCCAGGTGTTGTTAGTGGAGGAGCCATTGCAGGTATGGTGGAGTTAGCCAGGTGAGGAGGAGCCACCACTGTTGCAGGTATGGTGGAGTACCTTAGCCAGGTGTTGTTAGTGGAGGAGCCATCACTGATGCAGGTATGGTGGAGTACCTTAGCCAGGTGTTGTTAGTGGAGGAGCCATCACTGTTGCAGGTATGGTGGAGTACTTTAGCCAGGTGTAGCGTTAGTGGAGGAGCCATCACTGTTGCAGGTATGGTGGAGTACCTTAGCCAGGTGTTGTTAGTGGAGGAGCCATCACTGTTGCAGGTATGGTGGAGTACCTTAGCCAGGTGTTGTTAGTGGAGGAGCCATCACTGTTGCAGGTATGGTGGAGTACCTTAGCCAGGTGTTGTTAGTGGAGGAGCCATCACTGATGCAGGTATGGTGGAGTACCTTAGCCAGGTGTTGTTAGTGGAGGAGCCATCACTGTTGCAGGTATGGTGGAGTACCTTAGCCAGGTGTTGTTAGTGGAGGAGCCATCACTGTTGCAGGTATGGTGGAGTACCTTAGCCAGGTGTTGTTAGTGGAGGAGCCATCACTGATGCAGGTATGGTGGAGTACCTTAGCCAGGTGTTGTTAGTGGAGGAGCCATCACTGATGCAGGTATGGTGGAGTACCTTAGCCAGGTGTTGTTAGTGGAGGAGCCATCACTGATGCAGGTATGGTGGAGTACCTTAGCCAGGTGTCGTTAGTGGAGGAGCCATCACTGATGCAGGTATGGTGGAGTACCTTAGCCAGGTGTTGTTAGTGGAGGAGCCATCACTGTTGCAGGTATGGTGGAGTACCTTAGCCAGGTGTTGTTAGTGGAGGAGCCATCACTGTTGCAGGTATGGTGGAGTACCTTAGCCAGGTGAGTTAGGAGGAGCCATCACTGATGCAGGTAGGTGTAGCCAGGTTAGTGGAGGAGCCATCACTGTTGCAGGTATGGTGGAGTACCTTAGCTAGGTGTTGTTAGTGGAGGAGCCATCACTGATGCAGGTATGGTGGAGTACCTTAGCCAGGTGTTGTTAGTGGAGGAGCCATCACTGTTGCAGGTATGGTGGAGTACCTTAGCCAGGTGTTGTTAGTGGAGGAGCCATCACTGTTGCAGGTATGGTGGAGTACCTTAGCCAGGTGTCGTTAGTGGAGGAGCCATCACTGATGCAGGTATGGTGGAGTACCTTAGCCAGGTGTCGTTAGTGGAGGAGCCATCACTGTTGCAGGTATGGTGGAGTACCTTAGCCAGGTGTTGTTAGTGGAGGAGCCATCACTGTTGCAGGTATGGTGGAGTACCTTAGCCAGGTGTTGTTAGTGGAGGAGCCATCACTGTTGCAGGTATGGTGGAGTACCTTAGCCAGGTGTCGTTAGTGGAGGAGCCATCACTGTTGCAGGTATGGTGGAGTACCTTAGCCAGGTGTCGTTAGTGGAGGAGCCATCACTGTTGCAGGTATGGTGGAGTACCTTAGCCAGGTGTCGTTAGTGGAGGAGCCATCACTGATGCAGGTATGGTGGAGCCACCTTAGCCAGGGTGTACCTTTGTTAGTGGAGGAGCCATCACTGTTGCAGGTATGGTGGAGTACCTTAGCCAGGGTGTCGTTAGTGGAGGAGCCATCACTGATGCAGGTATGGTGGAGTACCTTAGCCAGGTGTCGTTAGTGGAGGAGCCATCACTGATGAAGGAGGTATGGTGGAGTACCTTAGCCAGGTGTCGTTAGTGGAGGAGCCATCACTGTTGCAGGTATGGTGGAGTACCTTAGCCAGGTGTCGTTAGTGGAGGAGCCATCACTGATGCAGGTATGGTGGAGTACCTTAGCCAGGTGTCGTTAGTGGAGGAGCCATCACTGATGCAGGTATGGTGGAGTACCTTAGCCAGGTGTCGTTAGTGGAGGAGCCATCACTGATGCAGGTATGGTGGAGTACCTTAGCCAGGTGTCGTTAGTGGAGGAGCCATCACTGATGCAGGTATGGTGGAGTACCTTAGCCAGGTGTCGTTAGTGGAGGAGCCATCACTGATGCAGGTATGGTGGAGTACCTTAGCCAGGTGTCGTTAGTGGAGGAGCCATCACTGATGCAGGTATGGTGGAGTACCTTAGCCAGGTGTCGTTAGTGGAGGAGCCATCACTGATGCAGGTATGGTGGAGTACCTTAGCCAGGTGTTGTTAGTGGAGGAGCCATCACTGTTGCAGGTATGGTGTAGTGGAGTACCTTAGCCAGGTGTTGTTAGTGGAGGAGCCATCACTGATGCAGGTATGGTGGAGTACCTTAGCTAGGTGTTGTTAGTGGAGGAGCCATCACTGTTGCAGGTATGGTGGAGTACCTTAGCCAGGTGTCGTTAGTGGAGGAGCCATCACTGTTGCAGGTATGGTGGAGTACCTTAGCCAGGTGTCGTTAGTGGAGGAGCAACCACTGATGCAGGTATGGTGGAGTACCTTAGCCAGGTGTTGTTAGTGGAGGAGCAATCACTGTTGCAGGTATGGTGGAGTACCTTAGCCAGGTGTCGTTAGTGGAGGAGCCATCACTGTTGCATTTTTTTCGGGAGTACCTTACGAAGTGTGGACTGGTCAAGGGATGATGGAACTAATATAGCTGCATGTCCACTGTTTCAGGGATAGTGTGACTAGTGCTAGTGGAGTAGATGTCAGGATACTTAGCAGGCCTACCAAAGAAAACTTCCCACTGCAGAAAAACGCGGAAAAGCCCACATTAATTGTGGAAATAGCAACATGAACACATTACCTTGCTACTGAAACAGTAAAAACGGCAACGAAAACTATGAGACTGCAACATTTTTATATCAGCGAACTTTGACCTGTACTGCGCATGTGCATTACGATCCGGGCTTCTTTCCAATTTCTGAGCAAACGTGAATCGCCTCGCATAGAAAAAGTATTAAATATGTCGAAATTATGGCCGTCAATCGTTTCATATGAATGGAAAGTAAACTAAACAAGTGTGCACACAAGTATCATGATGATAAATGCTAAATAACACAACAGAAATACTTAAGAAGGAACGTAACTTTTGTCCAAGCTGGAAAATGTCAACATGCGGTCGAGACTTCCTCTTCCATGTGCGCATGCGCAAAATCGAAGTTGCGGGCTCCTCGTTTTATGATGCAGTGTTAGCGATTTAAAGTTGCTCTTTTTACTGTTTCAGTAGCAAGGTATTATGTTTATGTTACTATTTACATGATTAATGTGAGCTCTTCTGCGTTTTTTTCTGCACAGAGGGAAAGTTTTCTTTGCTAGGCCTGCTTAGGATAGCACAATCATTAGTTTTGAAAACTGAAGACATTATTCTGATAATTGAGGAATGTATTTTGTATGATGTTTGTGGAAAAGTTTACTTGAGAAATGCACTTCTCTCTTGCAGTGTGTATGCCACCTCAGTGGGGAATACAGAAGGCCTAATTGTCAGCAATCTCCCTCATGGCGTTCTTCTGTGTACGTATAGGCACCCAGTACAGCCTGGAATCGCAATCAAACATGTGGAACAGTTCTGTGATCTACTCAGAGCCTAGAAACATTCTGGGTAACGGTCAAGAGAAAAAAAAACACCATTCAAAGATGCTTACATCTGTGACAGCTGTCCGAAGATGTTTAATTTACAGAATGTTTCTGTGATCAGCTCAGAGCCAAAACACCAGTCAGAAGATGTTTAATTTGCAGAATGTTTCTGTGGTCAGCTCAGAGCCAAAACACCAGTCAGATGTTTGTGGAATGACTTGTCATCTGCCCAGAGTCAAGAGCATAGTTCAAGATATCAACACGTGGACAGGTTCACCAACATTCACATAAAAATTGTGAAAAGATGTGCTGTGGTTGACATAAATGTAAGACACTGACTGACTGACTGAGTATGGTTTAACGCCGCTTTTAGCAATATTCCAGCAATATCACAGCGGGGGACACCAGAAATGGGCTTCACTCATTGCACCCATGTGGGGATTCGAACCCCGGGTCTTCGGCATGATGAGCCAACGCTTTAACCACTAGACTACCCCACCGCCCCATAAATATAAGACATCGTATGTTAGTACGTCATACAGTTGTGAATCATGTGGCTCCAGCTGTCTGTGCATGCGTGGTTCGTCCTCCAGACCTTGGTATGATGAACAGAACTCTTTACAAGAGTGTCCTAACATGCACTCACACAAACAACACAAAGTTGGTTTCATTAAAAAAACAAAATTTTACTATGCCAAGGCAATGCATGAGAAATATGAAACAAGAATATAGTATCAAATGCATGATTCCACAAAATTAACATAGATATAAATACTTATATTATTTCATTTAAAAACGCAAAGTTGCAATAAAATAACTTTGAAATCAATGAACAAAGCAGTAAAACGCCAGTGACAAAGATACAGAAAATTCAACAATTGATGTTTGAAAAAGAAAGCCTAAGACATTGAATAGAGGAATGCTTCATAGATGTGACAGACAATTCAGCGTACGTGATTTGATTGTATAAATCGCGGTCTAGTTCAACACTGATACTATTGACGCCTCTCCTACACTCCGTACATTGTGCATTTTAAAAAAGCAGCAGTTGTGCATATATGCCTACATACGTATTGCACATTATACAGTAATCCAAATCATAACTTCCTTGGATTTGACAGTCAATGTCAAATGACATGCCTAATGGTATACCAACTTAAATAGACAGGTGCTGTTTTGGATATTATTCTTGTAATAAAGTATTTCCCAATATATTTAAGACAGTATTCTTTTGATTACATAGGTTCACCACGTTCATTATTGGGACACTAGATTACATCATGAGATGTTTAAGTACTGGTTAATGGGGGTGGGAGTCCTTGCACATAGGTGGATCCAGAGGGGTGTGTGTGCAGGTGTGCAACCTCCCACCCCCTCATTTGGTCCTGACAGTTTATTAAATGACCATTGAAACTCCAGTGAAAATGAAGTGTGCACCCCCACTTTCTCAAATCGCTGTATCCGCCTCTGTTGCATCGGTTACTGCATTCCTGTGCATGTCACGTACAATGGTTTTAGTCACTAGATCAATGTGTCCAACACAAAACATGCACTGCAGCAGAACTGTGTTCAACACTGTTGTCAGACTCACTAAGTGTCACTAAGCATCTTCATACACTGTGCTCTTAAGTTTCATCAAATGAAACCTACATTAAGATATTCATATTCACTTGCCCTTTCAACAATGTAGTTTCTCAAACAAATATAGAGGAATATTTCAAAACACAGCCACCATTCTTTATTTGGATAACACAAATGGTCCCCCAGAAGTTGGAACTTCCAAAGCCTGAGTAACAACATGACAATCTGTTTTCAGCCCGGTAACACAACCGCAGTCGGTAACATAACCGCAGTAGTTATGACGGGTGGTATGTACAACAGGGGTGACCTTCCAGCTTGTACAACAAGTCTCATACCATTCACTCACTCACACACTGAACACATGGCCAGTATGCAGTCGCCATTAAACAACATTAAGGAAGCTCTCTATTTTACTATACATATGTACTCTTCCTTCTCTTTTCAGAAACTCTTACATCAAAGCACTATATAGATGATTTTTTGAAAAGAAAATAAGAACAAAATACTTTCTACATATTAGCAAACTTTTTCGAAATGACAAGATCACCTGGACTATAACCCTTGTATGTAGCGAGATGCACCTGAACAACTACTTGAAAGAACAAGACTAATAAACAAAAGATTATCCCAATGTAAAAGTACCCTGAAAAAATATCTACCTGTCCCAACCCATCTACCTGTCAAACCCATCTACCTGTCCCAACCCATCTACCTGTCGAACCCATCTACCTGTCCCAACCCATCTACCTGTCGAACCCATCTACCTGTCCAACCCATCTACCTGTCCCAACCCATCTACCTGTCAAACCCATCTACCTGTCCCAACCCATCTACCTGTCGAACCCATCTACCTGTCGAACCCATCTACCTGTCCCAACCCATCTACCTGTCGAACCCATCTACCTGTCCCAACCCATCTACCTGTCCCAACCCATCTACCTGTCAAACCCATCTACCTGTCGAACCCATCTACCTGTCCCAACCCATCTACCTGTCCGAACCCATCTACCTGTCCCAACCCATCTACCTGTCGAACCCATCTACCTGTCCCAACCCATCTACCTGTCAAACCCATCTACCTGTCGAACCCATCTACCTGTCGAACCCATCTACCTGTCCCAACCCATCTACCTGTCGAACCCATCTACCTGTCACACCCATCTACCTGTCGAGCCCATCTACCTGTCCCAACCCATCTACCTGTCCCAACCCATCTACCTGTCCCAACCCATCTACCTGTCGAACCCATCTACCCGTCCATGTGCTGATAATGCAACCACTGTAATACCAGGAAAATCTGTTCATTGGTTCGAGGTAAATGCCAAATTTATTACTATGATTGGCCTCAAATAGACATGCATTTATATTTTCTATTTGGACTTTTGTACTTTAGAGTGAAAATACCACACTTCAGGATATAGGTGTTGGTGACATGAAAGGAAGACCATTGTTCCAGGACAGGTATAATCACAATCACCAAGGAAACGAAGAAATACGTGTCACACTGAAACTGGTGAAACATTCAATATCCACATTTCTGACATCCCGGTCCACTCAACAGTCGGACACGGAGTTGAACACAGGTACACAGTGTGTAGAACACGGAGCCAAACGCAGGTACACGTGTGTAGAACCTATCACAACATGGCAAAGACATTGCTGTGGTTCCACAAACTGATCTTCGTGCCACTTATCTTATCACCTTAAACCAATCTTGAAGCAGCTGTTTTAATTACTGAATATGATTCTATCATAGACTTGCAACAGCCATAGGCCTAATACCCCCTTCTCAATTTTCAGATCTGAGATTTGATAACAGAATTAATGATAGAACCTTAGTCATTAGAGTTCTTACCATACTGTGAACTGTCTTCAGTGCTAGAGATGGGCCTCAGTTGAGTTTAGCATAACTTCTGGTACGTTCTACTGGCTTACATACCTGCAGTGCAATAGTGAGTTGGGGTTGACGCGAACTATATTCCTGTCACATGACCACCCATCAGGAGAAGGTCAAGGACAGCATGTGGTTTAAGACATTACAACTAGAACTGACAGGCATGGTATGGTGGTCACAAACCAAGAATCTTAATTAGGGCGATTTTGGGATTCAAATCTTATTACCAGCAGATCCTGGCTACTAAGGGACACATCTCTGTATCGCAACAATAGGTCAGTCAGTTCCAACATATACCAGCTCGCAACAGTGACCAACTGTTGAGTACTGTTGGTTATGAGTACCTCGCAGCTAATAGAAAATATTTAGGGACACAGCCTAATCTAAATAGGCAAAATGTTGACTTAACATGATGGTAGAAAATCTGTTGATAATAATTAAATAATGACCTCTCAAATTAGCATATTACATGACAATGAATGGAAAAAAGTTTGTTTTGTGCATCATTACAGAGAATGGTCAAAGTGAAATATATAGTGAGTCCATTGGGTTTAACCCTGCACGTTACTCCAGGTATATATCCTGGCATGCCGGCATCAGGTGTGAGGACAGCCTGAAGTGATACAGGTCTCCGACCAGTCAGCCCACAGATGAACCTGGACATTTTGGTGTTGCCAAGGGACACAACTCTGCGCAGCAAATTGCCCTCGACTGGGCCACTATTCTGGACCGTGACAGTCTCACTTACTCTGAAGCCCAGCTGTCTCCACTGGAATATTTTATCAATAACTCTACACAAAGTTCACACTAGGATATTAATGCTCACGACAGATATATAACACTGGATGTTCGAGATTCACTGGGTGTATAAGGTGGCCAAAATTACATTTTTAACATGGCTGCTATGGTTACGTCAGGCATATAGAAAGGTCGAACATCAAACACTCTGAGAAACCTTTGCACAACACATACTTCAATTTCAAATGGCAGCAGTGATTAAATTTGGAATGGAATTGGAAAGCAATCCATCAGAGCTGCTAGGAAAATATGACTACTTCGGTGAGATGTGGGCAATGTAGCTGGGATCATCCTTCCTGAAGCTACAGATGCGTTGTGATTCATTGTGATGTGAATGAAGTTCACACTGAAGACTGGACAACACACTGCGACAGAGGAGCTAGAGATAGTCTTACCTACACTCATAAATCTCCAAACTTCATGTTAGTTATAAGTAAAACATGGCCAGTCAAGGCAACACTGCTACACCCATGCATCCAGCTTGCATAGAATGTTCTTCAGCTCAATCATATATACCCTCGTAGTATTTGAACGGTTTAATCACCAAACCCCATCACTATGGCAACACAACACGGACAACCACTGGATTATCCATACACCAAAAGTCTGGATCACTAAAACTGGATCTCGTAATAGTCTGATGACCGGTCAAGCAGTGATCGTCTGGATATGTCGCAGTTCTTGGTCCCAAACGTTTCAATATACCCGGATTCAGATACAGCACACACTTATAAAAGACTGACTGTGACAGTCCCCTCATCTTCACAGCAGAAGTGTGACACCTGATGCTGAAGTACAGTGTGTATACCGAGAGAAGCCTGAGAAATAGGTACAACTGTCCTGGGAACCAATGGGAAGAATCAATGAAATCAACCGACAAACATGTTAATCATTGTGACAAATAAAACTTGAAATCAACAGTGAAACTTGCGACAGAACACCTTCAAATATGGGAGTGACTAGGTGACACAAGGCTCATCCCATGATTACCTCACAACATGCATGTGCACTGGTGAAAAAATAAATCTATGTGTTTATTGCTTGTTGAGATGTGTTGTTTACACCACTTGCACATTCAAGTAAAAATACACTACCCTAAACAAGACAACCTCAGTCTTGATGCTTTACCCAATAAAACAATCTCTCTGTTTACCATGTGGTTGGCAAACAACATGAAGTTGCAGCCATGTTCTTGTTTATGACAAATTCCCAATTAGAACTTAATAATCTATCACCCTTAGAACCTTGGAAGGGAAGCACACTGTTGGCCAGGAGGTAACTTTGTAGCATTTCAAATCACGGAATCTGACAAACAAATATATATTTTGTTGTGACCAACTCTTGTGTGTACACGTGAGCCAAGCAAGCAATCCTATTCTCGGACATAGACAAAGATTCATATACCTAACACACACAATCATCAGGTGATAACACAGCAGAAATATCCTGCCTCTGTGTTCTAGTTTGTATCAAAGACTGACAAATCAAGCTGGGTTATCCAAGCAGCATGTAGCATATAATGATATTATCTACCAAGCAGATGATGCATATTGACTATTACAGAATATTGTACAATATTGTTCTACACAGTCCTGTAAACAGTAGGCCATATAGGGCTATACACACTCTCCTTCACCACAGGGTTATACAGACATGTAGCTCATACAGAATCTAGCAGCTGCTCTCATCAACAAGCATCCTGTAAACCTTTCAATTTTCATGTTTCTTCAATTATGCAATATAATATCTATTTGCATTATTTCAACATGATGTTTTACCCCAGTCCTTCCACTGCAACATTTGCAGGTACATGTGTACCCATCTGGTTCTGCTGGTCACAATCATTCAAATGCAACAGGAAATAGTTCACCGCAGATTACAACCAACTTTACTGTTACAATCACATCCTGCACCTCAGGCCGGAAACACACTGTGAATAGTCAGTAATCTTGCATCACAAGTTGTACACCTGAAAGCTGGCCTGTTTACTATGTACAGTAGATATAGGGTTGACTCAATATACAGTATATACCATACACAAGCAAGCAAGCAGTATGTACATGATTTCATTGGTTAATGAATACCCGCTAGCTGAGATATATATAGATATATCAGTTATATATTTGGTATCAAGCATCCAGGAGGGTTACGCTTTGCTTGCTCTTCATCACCTGAGTATCCCACACAGGACAAGTCAGTAACTGTCACAATAGGCCATCACTACTCACAGTACACAATTTTCTCAGACAATGTAGTTTTTTTTATCTTTATAAGCAAAAATGATAAAGGATAAAATAAGAGACATGAGTTTACGCTGCATCTCAGCATTTTTGCAAGACTGGGATACCGAGAATGGGTGTCACATAGTTTATCCATGCAGGGGATCAAACCAGGAACGTCTATGTGAGAAGCAAACACATAACCATGTGGCCACCCCACTGCCAACAACTCCATCCACAAGGACTAAATCTTTCTGTAACTGCTACAAAATACCATCATACAGTTTACTAATGAGGAAACAAATTACATTCTCAGTTGTTTTTGGAAATAGTGAAATAAATAAATGAAATAGTGACAATAAATGTACTTCGGAGATGGCCACAAGTTCATAATTTGCTCCCCATATAAATAAACATATGGCTGTTTCAAACACTTATTGCCCACACTGAACAATGTAATCGCTATGAATGTACCGTACCGTTCAAGCTGGTGGTTCCTTCAATCATGGAGTGGAGTGTGTAGCTTAGTAATAATAACAGTCTGCACATAAGTTCCTATGCAATGTTTGAAAGACTACATTATCATTACTCCTGTCAATGGATCAGTATGTGCTTGATTATTGTTTTCTCAGCTTCCTGGGGAGTATACAATCCAAGCTCACAGAAACTATATTAACAGTCACATCACAGTCTCATCCTATCTGGTACCCATTAACTGACAAGTGAACAGTCACTTCCCCAAGGGGACACTACATGGGCTTCTGTGTGAAGCAGGGCTCAAATGGGTGTTCTGAATTTCTCAAGGTCATCATGGACAGAGCAAGGTCAAGGTTTTCAATGATACACAATGATTATAAGATTTACAAATTTTTAGAATGTGCTTCACATTTGTGGAGGTTTGACCAAATCACTATGAACAAAGACTTTCCAGCCCACTATCCCCTATACCATACTACACAAAGACATCACTCTTATATGACGTAGCTCGAGATCACGTGATACGGATCGTCTGAGATGCAGCATAAACTATTTACAATATGACATCGGACTACATTAGATTAGAATAATCCTTTAAAGAGCTTAATACTGCAATATGTGAACTGATTAATATAACAATAGGACCACTTTCTGCCCATGTCTGCCTTACCCCTTCGTCTCCTTCCTGCCATAATGCTGTTCATACAGGCTTAATCGGCCAGGTTAAATAACAACAGGTTGCTAGGATACCCCATAAAAGTTTGCTGAATGAAAAATGTGAATGAATAAAAGAGCATTTTTGATATTTAAAACTGATATTTAATCAACTTAAGATGTAATCCTCAATCATTTAAAACATTAAAATATCTAAAATATCCAATCACCGAAATATATAAATAATCACAGTATTTAAGAATTATGTAGCCATTCTGTAAACAGTAAAATTTGTAAAGACCTATGAGAACATAGTTGAACAGAGAATGTAGCAGTATAATTCAGGGCTCAGACATTGCACTGGAGTCAAGACATGTTCTGGACATGCAATTTGGTCATTGTTGATACTCTTCACCCTTAATATCCAGGTGGGAACAAAGTTGTCTCCCCTTACCAAGCCCTTCGTCAATGGTGGCCGTTAGTGTGTCTGTTAAACTCGTCACTTAGCTGCCGATTTGAACACACTGAGCTCTCCTTTCCTCGAAACAGAGAACTTGAAAATGGATGGATACCATTAATGGATTCAAACGTCTTTATATGATTCAACGTATCTTCTCCATTGACTCTTTCACTTGGTTCTGTTTTAGCTTCAAGGTCGGGTTTGAGCCTCTTTCTGGAAGACGAATCACAGTCAAGGTCGCCTGTCAAGCGTTGGTCCCCATTTGAATCTGGCGTGATAGAAGCAGGTTTGGCGTCGAGTCTCTCCGTCAAGTACTGGAGGAGGACACTAGGGAAGTCGTCCACCTCATCATAGCCTGGAGGAAACACAAACCTTGATCACTAACCAGGGAACCAGTCGAAAACTCACCTCAGTGTTTTGCAAGTAGAAGTAAGTATAAACATAAAAGATGTCCGAAAGTTTGCACATAAGTTTTTATGCTTTTAACTCCATAAATACAAAAAAAAACTATTACAGTCAATTGTTATACATAGGTAGGATGTAAAAACTGAAATAGTGTGGCTTAATCTGATGCTTAACGATGACATCTTTTCCTGGTCTAAAGACAAACTACACTTAAATAATTATGACTATGACAGATGGTTTGATACAGTGAGTGAGTGAGTGAGTGAGTTTAGTTTTATGCCGCACTCAGCAATATTCCAGCTATATGGCGGCGGTCTGTAAATAATCGAGTTTGGACCAGACAATCCAGTGATCAACAGCATGAGCATCGATCTGCGCAACTGAGAACCGATGACATGTGTCAACCAAGTCAGCAAGCCTAACCACCCGATCCCGTTAGTCGCCTCTTACGACAAGCATGGGCTACTGAAGATCAAGATTCTAACCCAGACCTTCACGGGTCGGTGGATTGATTCAGGTTTTAGGACTACCTGGGAATGAGTTGATGTCGATGATTGCGTATCTCTGCGTGCTGCTGTCCATTATAACGTCCACACCGAACAGGTCATGGTCGAACACCTGCCGTATCTTACTGCCAAGGTCACACAGCTTCTCTTTATCCGGCTCGAGGGGAGACCTCTCCATGTCTGCCTTGTCTAGCTTTAAAAAATAATATAGAGTGAGTGAGTGAGTTTTATGTTGCCTTTAGCAATATTCCAGCAATATCACTATCTATATCAGAAATGGGTTCCACACATTGTACCCAGGTGGGGAATCGAACCCGGGTCTTCGACAAAGAGCAAACGCTTTAACCACAAGGCTACCCCACTGCCTCCAAATAATATACATAATTGTTAACCACAACTTTCCTATTTAGCAACAAAAGCCTGTAAAGGCTGCAAACAGTGAACATGAAACTATCTAACAAGGAAAACAAGGCAACACTAAGTGCATGAATGAATGTTGTTTTACTTCACAGTCAGGACCAAGCAAACCAGTGACCAAAAGCATGATCCCAACCCTGCACACTTGATCCCGTTGACATCACCTCTAGTGACAAGAATTGGGGCGATGGGCCCTTTTCTCACATGGAATCGCCACACTGGTTAAGACTTTTCAACAATCCTCTGCTGAACAATTTGTGGCACCTTCACCTGGCTTGCCGTCAACACTTTACAGTCTCCTAGTAACCCACCACACCCCTGCTAGCCCTTCAGTTGAGACTGCTAACTACTTACTATTGTGAGATAGTGGGAGCAGCCTCGCTTTGACACGTTGTGGGTATCGAAGAAGATTGTCTTGTGATCTGAAATAAATACGATTTCAGGTAAGTCAGCGACCCTGACAAACATGGCACCTCAGAGTTTTACAAGAACTGGCAACTCTGAATCTTACTAAAACATTAAACAGTTTTTTATGTTCAAAATATGTAAATTAACATAACTCTTTCAAAAAATTGAACCAAACATTGTTCAAATTTTTACCAAAATTATCAAATTTGCACTGCATCTCTGCTTTAGACAAATAGGGTGGTCCCCAAATATGAAAACATTCAAATATACTATTCACACTTTGCTAAGGATCAAATCATGGATTCAACAGAAATGATGTGGGGTCAAATTTGGTTTAAATATCTAAGCCTATTGTAAGCATGGATCCAAGTTTCAGTATGTCACTTGTGGATCCCATACCTGCTATTGACAGGTGTTGTGTACTTGACTCGTTCCATGATTTGCAAAATGGTTGATTGGTGCCATGAAAACCATTTATATGGCTACTTATGTATCATTTGTGACTGTTTTCCTAAAGAGGGGTTACAATATTATTATTTATCCAGTTTTAAATGGATACAATTTCAAATTATGAATCTACGATTAAGTAAAGATGTGAATTTTTGTGATCCTTAGCAAAGTGTGAGTAGTATAGATTTCTTTCTAGACATGACAAGACTTGTTTTCATACCTCCAGCATAGAAGTTCTTCAGTGACGGCCTCTCCGCGATATAGTACTTGTCCCCGACAGCGTATATCTTGAAGAGCAGTGCATTGTGGTTGATAAAAGACTGAGCTACACATGGAAACACGAGGTCGGACAGACCAGCCTCCGTGAACACTATCGCCATCTGGAGGAAGAGACACAAAGTCATTGAAGGAAACACATAGTGACTCCACTCATGTTGATCATCTTCACCTTCATACATACCAGCATCATGTGTATTTCAGCCTGGGATATACAGCTGGTTACAAGGAAGCTTACTGAACTAAACAAAGATTCACTAAGTTATATTGGTGCCCAAAGGAAGCAGGAATGCATAGTTAACTGTGGTGCCCTGAACAACTGGGCACTAGGCCCTGAGCCTCTCAGTCTGTGGTAAGAGGGAGGGCTGCCACTGTGTATACTACTATTTTACTTAATCAGGTGTGGTTTTGAATCAAGGTGAAGTGTGGTTTTTAATCCGGTCATAGTATGGTTTTGAATCAGGGTGTAGTGTCGTTTCTAATCCGGTCATAGTGTGGTTTTGAATCCGGTCATAGTGTGGTTTTGAATCTGGTCGTAGTGTGGTTTTGAATCTGGTTGTAGTGTGGTTTTGAATCAGGGTGTAGTGTGGTTTTGAATCAGGGTGTAGTGTGGTTTTGAATCAGGGTGTAGTGTGGTTTTGAATCCGGTCGTATAGTGTGGTTTTGAATCAGGTCATAGTGTGGTTTTGAATCAGTGTGGTTTTGTGTATGGTTTTGAAGTGTGGTTTTGAATCAGGGTGAAGTGTGGTTTTGAAGTGTGGTTTTGAATCAGGGTGTAGTGTGTGGTTTTGAATCAGGGTGTAGTGTGGTTTTGAATCCGTCATAGTGTGGGTCATAGTGTGGTTTTGAATCTGGTGTAGTGTGGTTTTGAATCAGGGTGTAGTGTGGTTTTGAAAGTGGTGTAGTGTGGTTTTGAATCAGGGTGTAGTGTGGTTTTGAATCCGGTCATAGTGTGGTTTTGAATCAGGGTGTAGTGTGGTTTTGAATCAGGGCGTAGTGTGGTTTTGAATCAGGGTGTAGTGTGGTTTTTAATCCGGTCATAGTATGGTTTTGAATCAGGGTGTAGTGTCGTTTCTAATCCGGTCATAGTGTGGTTTTGAATCCGGTCATAGTGTGGTTTTGAATCTGGTCGTAGTGTGGTTTTGAATCTGGGTCGTAAGTGTGGTTTTGAATCAGGGTGTAGTGTCGTTTCTAATCCGGTCATAGTGTGGTTTTGAATGGTCATAGTGTGGTTTTGAATCAGTGTGGGTGTAGTGTGGTTTTGAATGTGGTGGTTTTGAATCAGGGTGTAGTGTGGTTTTGAATCAGTGTGGTTTTGAATGTAGTGTGGTTTTGAATTAGTGTGGTTTCTAAATCTGGTCAGTGTGGTTTTGAATCAGTAGTGGTTTTGAATCAGGGTGTAGTGTGGTTTTGTCAGGGTGTAGTGTGGTTTTGAATCAGTGGTTTTGAATCAGTAGTGGTTTTGAATCAGGGCGTAGTGTGGTTTTGAATCAGGGTGTAGTGTGGTTTTGAATCAGGGTGTAGTGGTTTCTAATGTCATAGTGTGGTTTTGAATCAGGGTGTAGTGTGGTTTTGAATCAGGGTGTAGTGTGGTTTTGAATCAGGGTGTAGTGTGGTTTTGAATCAGTGTGGTTTTGAATCAGAGTAGTGTGGTTTTGAATCATCTGGGTATAGTGTGGTTTTGAATCAGGGTGTAGTGTTTTGAATCAGGGTGTAGTGTGGTTTTGAATCAGGGTGTAGTGTGGTTTTGAATCAGGGTGTGTGTGATTTGAATCAGGGTGTAGTGTGGTTTTGAATGTGGTTTTGAATCAGGTGTAGTGTGGTTTTGAATCAGGGTGTAGTGTGGTTTTGAATCAGGTGGGTGTAGTGTGGTTTTTGAATCAGGGTGTAGTGAATGGTTTTGAAATCAGTGGTTTGAATCAGTGTGGTTTTGAATCAGGGTGTAGTGTGGTTTTGAATAGTGTGGTGAATCAGGGTATAGTGTGGTTTTGAATCAGGGTCATAGTGTGGTTTTGAATCAGGGTGTAGTGTGGTTTTGAATCAGGGTGTAGTGTGGTTTTGAATCAGGGTGTAGTGTGGTTTTGAATCAGGGTCATAGTGTGGTTTTGAATCAGGGTGTAGTGTGGTTTTGAATCAGGGTGTAGTGTGGTTTTTGAATCAGGGTGTAGTGTGGTTTTGAATCAGGGCATAGTGTGGTTTTAGTGTGGCTTTGAATCAGGGTGTAGTGTGGTTTTGAATCAGGGGGTGTGGTTTTAGTGAATCGGTTTTGAATCAGGGTGTAGTGTGGTTTTGAATCAGGGTGTAGTGTGGTTTTGAATCAGGGTGTAGTGTGGTTTTGAATCAGGGTGTAGTGTGGTTTTGAATCAGGGTGTAGTGTGGTTTTGAATCAGGGTGTAGTGTGGTTTTGAATCAGGGTGTAGTGTGGTTTTGAATCAGGGTGTAGTGTGGTTTTGAATCAGGGTGTAGTGTGGTTTTGAATCAGGGTTGTAGTGTGATTTTGAATCAGGGTGTAGCGTGGAATCAGGTGTAGTGTGGTTTTGAATCAGGGTGTAGTGTGGTTTTGAATCAGGGTGTAGTGTGGTTTTGAATCAGGGTGTAGTGTGGTTTTGAATCAGGGTGTAGTGTGGTTTTGAATCAGGGTGTAGTGTGTGGTTTTGAATCAGGATTGTAGTGGCGATTTTGAATCAGGGTGTAGCGTGGTTTTGAATCAGGGTGTAGCATGGTTTTAATCAGGGTGTAGTGTGGTTTTTAATCTGATTGTAGTGGCGATTTTGAATCAGGGGGTGTAAGCTTGGTTTTTTAATCATGGGTCAGGTGTAGTGGTTTTTTAATCTGATTGTAGTGCGATTTTGAATCAGGGTGTAGTTTGGTTTTAAATCAGTGGGTGTAGTGTGGATCTGTAGCATGGATTTTTAATCAGGGTGTAGTGTGGGTTTTAATCAGGGTGTAGTGTGGTTTTTAACCAGGGTTGTCTTTAAGTGGTTTGGTCCCAAACTGTATTGGTTATATCCAATCCATCACACAGCTAATTCTAAATAATGTTAACAAGTTTGATCTCTTAAATGTACTAGCAAATTCCTCACACTGATCAAGCAAAGAAAATAACAGCTTTACTTTTTACCCAGAAATCGCTACAATTTCCATTTGAATACACTTGCTGAAGTAAGACATCTTTCTTACAGTGTAAATACTTTAGAATATATTTTAGGGTTTGATCTCTGAGTTAAATCCTAACAGTAAATTTCTGGTTTAACTGGAGTTACAGTTCCTTGAACACAACTCTAGATCTACTGCTAGCTCTCAGTCCTGTGTGAGATTGCCATGGCAACATACCTTGTGTGACAGCTTGGAGCCATGAGCAATGCTTGGCTTACACACTGAAAGTAAAGAAACCAGTGTTAGACAAAGATCAATTTGTGCTGACAAAACCCCTACCAAGTGCCTAGTGTTTTCTTCAAAGGACCTGACTTTCTTGCTACACTGATACAGCGGGTTTGCCACCCAGACCAATGCCTGCTTCTACTGCCCACATGTTACAACAACTGACAATGAGATCACAATGGACGTTATATACAACAAAAAGTTTATATAAATTTCCACTGTATTTTGTCACTGCAACCTGGAAACAATCAAGCCAAGGATAGAAAAATCTGTAATTGACAGTCTGGCAATCCAGTCATGTGCAACCACAGCCCAGCATTCCAGGCAATGTGCCCCAGGCTGTGTGCATCTACAGCCCAGCATTCCAGGCAATGTGCCCCAGGCTGTGTGCATCTACAGCCCAGCATTCCAGGCAATGTGCCCCAGGCTGTGTGCATCTACAGCCCAGCATTCCAGGCAATGTGCCCCAGTCTGTGTGTGGAACTACAGCCCAGCATTCCAGGCAATGTGCCCCAGGCTGTGTGCATCTACAGCCCAGCATTCCAGGCAATGTGCCCCAGGCTGTGTGCATCTACAGCCCAGCATTCCAGGCAATGTGCCCCAGGCTGTGTGCATCTACAGCCCAGCATTCCAGGCAATGTGCCCCAGGCTGTGTGCATCTACAGCCCAGCATTCCAGGCAATGTGCCCCAGTCTGTGCATCTACAGCCCAGCATTCCAGGCAATGTGCCCCAGGCTGTGTGCAACCACAGCCCAGCATTCCAGGCAATGTGCCCCAGTCTGTGCCCCAGGCTGTGTGCATCTACAGCCCAGCATTCCAGGCAATGTGCCCCAGGCTGTGTGCAACCACAGCCCAGCATTCCAGGCAATGTGCCCCAGGCTGTGTGCATCTACAGCCCAGCATTCCAGGCATGTGCCCCAGGCAATGTGTGTGTGCACAGCCCAGCCAGGCAATGTGCCCCAGTCTGTGTGCATCTACAGCCCAGCATTCCAGGCAATGTGCCCCAGGCTGTGTGCATCTACAGCCCAGCATTCCAGGCAAGCAGGCTGTTCCAGGCAATGTGCCCCAGGCATGTGCCCCAGGCTGTGTGCATCTACAGCCCAGCATTCCAGGCAATGTGCCCCAGGCTGTGTGCATCTACAGCCCAGCATTCCAGGCAATGTGCCCCAGGCTGTGTGCATCTACAGCCCAGCATTCCAGGCAATGTGCCCCAGGCTGTGTGCATCTACAGCCCAGCATTCCAGGCAATGTGCCCCAGGCTGTGTGCATCTACAGCCCAGCATTCCAGGCAATGTGCCCCAGGCTGTGTGCATCTACAGCCCAGCATTCCAGGCAATGTGCCCCAGGCTGTGTGCATCTACAGCCCAGCATTCCAGGCAATGTGCCCCAGGCTGTGTGCATCTACAGCCCAGCATTCCAGGCAATGTGCCCCAGGCTGTGTGCATCTACAGCCCAGCATTCCAGGCAATGTGCCCCAGGCTGTGTGCATCTACAGCCCAGCATTCCAGGCAATGTGCCCCAGGCTGTGTGCATCTACAGCCCAGCATTCCAGGCAATGCCCCAGGCTGTGTGCATCTACAGCCCAGCATTCCAGGCAATGTGCCCCAGGCTGTGTGCATCTACAGCCCAGCATGCATCCAGGCAGCATTCCAGGCAATGTGCCCCAGGCTGTGTGTGCATCCACAGCCCAGCATTCCAGGCTGTGTGCATCTACAGCCCAGCCCCAGGCTGTGTGCATCCACAGCCCAGCATTCCAGGCAATGTGCCCCAGGCTGTGTGCATCTACAGCCCAGCATTCCAGGCAATGTGCCCCAGGCTGTGTGCATCTACAGCCCAGCATTCCAGGCAATGTGCCCCAGGCTGTGTGCATCTACAGCCCAGCATTTCAGGCAATGTGCCCCAGTCTGTGTGCATCTACAGCCCAGCATTCCAGGCAATGTGCCCCAGGCTGTGTGTGGAACCACAGCCCAGCATTCCAGGCAATGTGCCCCAGGCTGTGTGCATCTACAGCCCAGCATTCCAGGCAATGTGCCCCAGGCTGTGTGTGGAACCACAGCCCAGCATTCCAGGCAATGTGCCCCAGGCTGTGTGCATCTACAGCCAAGCATTCCAGGCAATGTGCCCCAGGCTGTGTGCATCTACAGCCCAGCATTCCAGGCAATGTGCCCCAGGCTGTGTGCAACTACAGCCCAGCATTCCAGGCAATGTGCCCCAGGCTGTGTGCATCTACAGCCCAGCATTCCAGGCAATGTGCCCCAGTGTGTGTGCACAGCCACAAACAAACCAAAGGGAATGACTTCACACATTTAGCTATTTCTGATTACAAGTGTGAGATACTCTGCCCGATAATCCCCACAGGGAGACAAGCACAGAGTACTGGAGTTCTACTCTGCCCCATAAACCCCACAGGGAAACAAACAGTGGGTGTGTTGTTTTGTTTTTATATCCTTGTGTCACAACACGGACTTGTAACTATCTATTCAGAGGTTATAATTACAAGATATGGGAAGATAGTAACTTCAAGGAAGACCAACCAATAGGGTATGTGACTTGGGCCTCTGCCAGCTTCCTGCGGTTGGTGTCAAGGTCACTCGAGGTCAACTCGACAAATGTTGGCATGAACACATCAGAGTCTGAAACAATACAACGAAAACTGAAGCTTTCTGTTCCCACAGAAACAAGTGAAAAGAATAACGGTTTATTTGACTATACAGTTAGTCATGGCAGGTCAGTTTAATGTGGAAAACCTTGACAGATGCAGGTTGTCCACCACTTATTTTACTCCTTTATGTCATCCACACAAATACTCGTTTCAGGCTGGTAGTTCAAAACATTTTAGTTCTTTTTATTTTATTTATTTATTATTTTTAAAACGCATAATTACTGACTGAAAGACATACAAAACAAAAGATGGCACAAAAAATTATTTTGCAGTGGTGGGGGCTATTATCCCAAACCAGAATTTTGGCCTGTCTGTGTGAGTGTAAGGTTCACCTTGCTGGAACAGAGAGCTCTCCTGGACCATCTTGTACTGGTTGTAGCGGTCCAGCAGGTTCACCATACTCGGCAGTGGGTCGATCACGATGCATTCCGGGTGGCTGTTGATGTAATCCTGAAACAAACACCACTAATCACTACCAACAACAAGCAACAACTCACACCCATATTAACAACACCGGAATCATGTGGTAACTCAGCTTCATTCAAATCTAACTAACAACAACATAGTCAGAGAACTGTCATCAACATCCATCATATTTGTTGTGCTTAACTCTGAGAGTGTGGGTTCGAAATCCCAAATGGGATTCAACAAAGGAAAGTACCAGGGCCCTTATTCTCGAAACGTTCGTAGCCCTAAGAATTCTTCACTTTGATCGTAGCCAATGTGTTAAGAATCGGCTTAAGAAGTTCGTAGGGCTACGAACGTTTCGAGAATAGCTAGCGTGAATCTGTACTTCACTGAGAAAGTGTAATCATGAATATAACACATGATACAAGAAAACAAATACCATAAGGCCACACCAATAAGGTGGGTGTTAGGTTTTGTCATGTTTGTTTAGTTCTGACATGAGTGAAAGACATGGTCTAAGCTCCATACATTGATAAACTTCACCATGTGACATCAGTTAGCTCTATTCCAGGAAGACTATGTGGTGTTTTGAGTTCTGAAATCTCGGTGTATATGTAATTAGCTCCCAGTCTGCACTCGTAAGGATAAAAACAAAAAGATTGGATTGTTTTAACCTAACAGCCAGAGATTTGCATCACAGAAATGGATACATTAACACTTTGTGAATTGAAGTCATGGCTCTCAGTCTTCAGCATTGTGTTTCTCAAGACTGCTTTATGTCATTGGTGCATTAACTATCTGCTTTCTGTGATAATTTATGAATGTAAATAATGTGTGAAAAAATAACATATATCTTAAGGGGAGTAATTTTAATCTATTCCAACTATTGATCATGGTGGCATCTCGACTGATCGTGAGTGTTCAGTTTTTGGTTTCACAGTTCTGTGTGCATTGAATTCTGGGATGTCACATGACACGAGAGATGCAGATGGGTAGTCAGCCATCACTAGTTAGCCTTCATTGTGGGATCATTTGAGATACACTTGTTTGAAGTATTCCGTACCTGGTGTTGTGGTCTGTAATGAACTACCAGATCAATGGCTGTCTACATCAACTGACTGGTACTGACAACGTTCTTGTCCGAGGAATTGATCTCAAATTTTCAAACTACTTGTTAATAAACAGCTAGTGTCAAAATCATGATTTGAACAAGACACGATGGCCTCATTAGAATAGGTCATAAATTGGGCGTAAGTGGGGACCAAGTTGATTGGTTGGTCAGACCTGGTAGGTGCTCATGATATCAGTCACTGGATTGTCTGGTCCAGACCTGACTGTTCACAAGCTACTATCATACAGCAGGAATACTGCATTTTCCAAAATTTGTTGGATATACTGCCACACAAGCGGCAACCACAAAAGAATAGCATTGACCCGAGCAAGTTGAGGTCCATCACTATCTTATAAGAAAATTAGACCAGGAAAACAGGCGAGTGTTGATGCCATGTACTGTCACTTCATGATGTGATCCTATGGTAAAACTGCATGGTAATGTTTTAAATGTTTAATTCAATGTTAATAGGATTTTGTCTAAAACAGTGGGGTCATCCATGACAGCCAGCTGGTGTAGGGAATGGTTGCCCACTGACCGTGTTTCAACAAACCGAGGATGTGGATGTAACCACAGCTGATTCATAATTGTAAGTTGAAATAATGATAATAAACAAAACGTAAATACAAGGAAGAAGGAATAGTCCTTTTTTCAATTATAAGAGTTTAGATTTTTAACCAAGATCAACACAAATTGTTTTAGCTCATAAAACATTTCAATTCAAGAAATATCAATATAAAGTAGTATAGAAACAATGGTAATACATAAATACTTTGATGACAGCAGCAAGAGAGATCATGTGCTGCGTGCCAACAAGTGAAGGCCTCAATGAACGTCCTGCCATCAGCTGTATGGTGGCTGGTAGACAAAGGGTCACATTGACAAACATCATATGCGAGGTTGCAGGTTTCTAATCATGCCATGAAACTTTCATGTAAAACAATCATGAATTTTCCCCATCATAATCAACAACAGATGAACAGGCCTGCAGGTCAAGGTCACTATGAGACAGCAAGACGCTATGACAGGCTGCAGGTTTATACAGGAGGATGTGGTCACCATGAGACAGCAAGACACTATGACAGGCTGCAGGTTTATACAGAAGGATGTGGGTCATCAGCCGGGAGGAAATCCAGAAACAGCAGGAAGTGGGTACACCTCATACTGGAGGTTCATGCACCAAAGTACACAAAGGCCTGAAACATGCTTCCTCAAGGAAACACCCAAGGAAAGGGTGTTCTACAATGCAGTGACCAGGGACAGGGTGTTCTACAATGCAGTGGCCAGGGACAGGGTGTTTTACAATGTAGTGGCCAGGGACTGGGTGTTCTACAATGCAGTGACCAGGGACTGGGTGTTCTACAATGCAGTGACCAGGGACAGGGTGTTCTACAATGCAGTGGCCAGGGACAGGGTGTTCTACAATGCAGTGGCCAGGGACTGGGTGTTCTACAATGTAGTGGCCAGGGACAGGGTGTTCTACAATGCAGTGGCCAGGGACTGGGTGTTTTACAATGTAGTGGCCAGGGACTGGGTGTTCTACAATGCAGTGGCCAGGGACTGGGTGTTTTACAATGTAGTGGCCAATGACAGGGTGTTCTACAATGCAGTGGCCAGGGACAGGGTGTTCTACAATGCAGTGGCCAAGGACAGGGTGTTCTACAATGTAGTGGCCAGGGACTGGGTGTTCTACAATGCAGTGGCCAAGGACAGGGTGTTTTACAATGCAGTGGCCAGGGACTGGGTGTTCTACAATGCAATGGCAGTGACAGGGGTGTTCTACAAATGCAGGCCAGGGACAGGGTGTTCTACAATGCAGTGGCCAGGGACAGGGTGTTCTACAATGCAGTGACCAGGGACAGGGTGTTCTACAATGCAGTGGCCAGGGACTGGGTGTTCTACAATGCAGTGGCCAGGGACTGGGTGTTTTACAATGCAGTGGCCAGGGACTGGGTGTTCTACAATGCAGTGACCAGGGACAGGGTGTTCTACAATGCAGTGGCCAGGGACTGGGTGTTCTACAATGCAGTGACCAGGGACAGGGTGTTCTACAATGCAGTGGCCAGGGACTGGGTGTTCTACAATGCAGTGGCCAGGGACTGGGTGTTCTACAATGCAGTGGCCAGGGACAGGGTGTTCTACAATACAGTGGCCAGGGAGAGGGTGTTCTACAATGTAGTGGCCAGGGACTGGGTGTTCTACAATGCAGTGGCCAGGGACTGGGTGTTTTACAATGTAGTGGCCAGGGACTGGGTGTTCTACAATGCAGTGGCCAAGGACAGGGTGTTCTACAATGCAGTGGCCAAGGACAGGGTGTTTTACAATGTAGTGGCCAGGGACTGGGTGTTCTACAATGCAGTGGCCAGGGACAGGGTGTTCTACAATGCAGTGGCCAGGGACAGGGTGTTCTACAATGCAGTGGCCAGGGACAGGGTGTTCTACAATGCAGTGGCCAGGGACAGGGTGTTCTACAATGCAGTGGCCAGGGACTGGGTGTTTTACAATGCAGTGGCCAGGGACAGGGTGTTCTACAATGCAGTGGCCAGGGACTGGGTGTTCTACAATGCAGTGGCCAGGGACTGGGTGTTCTACAATGCAGTGACCAGGGACAGGGTGTTCTACAATGTAGTGGCCAGGGACTGGGTGTTCTACAATGCAGTGGCCAGGGACAGGGTGTTCTACAATGCAGTGGCCAGGGACAGGGTGTTCTACAATACAGTGGCCAGGGAGAGGGTGTTCTACAATGTAGTGGCCAGGGACAGGGTGTTCTACAATGCAGTGGCCAGGGACTGGGTGTTCTACAATGCAGTGGCCAATGACAGGGTGTTTTACAATACAGTGGCCAGGGACAGGCTGTTCTACAATGCAGTGGCCAAGGACAGGGTGTTTTACAATGCAGTGGCCAGGGACAGGGTATCTTACAATTCAGTGGCCAAGGACAGGGTGTTCTACAATGCAGTGGCCAGGGACATGGAGTTCTACAGGCTTCGAGGCAACCCTGAGTACACAAGTGAGACCCTCGACAACATATACAAATGTTGACAAGACCCTTGTTAAGCGAGAAAACTGTTCATGTCCTAGATAGAGCACAACACCATATCTCATGCCAGTGACTGACCACAAATCAGAACCCATCCAAACCTACACTTGTTTCACTCAGAACTAAATGGCAGCTACTATCAGTAACAACACCTGCTATAACATCCAGGCCACTAGAGTCTATACTTATTGTGATGGTGACATTTATCTCTTTGTGAGAGACTGCCAATCCCAGAACCCCCACCCAAGTATGTAAGTACAAGTAACAGTTCAATATACCTAGTTGTAACTTCTATAGCAGTGATCAGGAAACAGCAGTGCATACAATAGCACAAGCTATTTTGTTTGTTCATTAAAAATCCTGAACAGATGTCTTCATTTCTGGTGTATGATATACTGAAACAAATACACACTATTGACCAAACACATGCATTTCTGGATCCAAGAAACCAACATAATACTGTTTTTCTCTGACCCATAAAATGAGGTATGGACCTCATAAAACGTCTGTATTTGCACAAGGTTCGGGAGGTATTACAGGAGACAGGTAACTACAGCTAAATCACCACCCACTCATCAACTGACAAGTATTGACTGTCACAAATAGATATTGATTTTTATCATTTTTCCATTGGAAAGAAATTTAATGTGAATTTTTCTATTTCAGCAAATCTGCACAACCCAAACCTGTTTGAACAAATCATGCACACCCAGTATGCATGACTGAAGAAATGATGTATTGTCTGCGCCACTGTGTAACTGCCATGCATTATCTCCAACAGCATGTCTCATCAGATAACCACCATGTCTGTGACAAGCCAACTGGTCCCAGACAACACTAATGTCTACAGCGGAGATTCTCAGTAAGGGGTCTTCCCAGGACTAACCTTAC